TAGTTACTTTCTGCGAAGATGCCTCAACAGGGACCCTCGCTTAGAGAAGAAATCGGAAATCCTGACCCCCTGAAGCCTCGTGAAGCCCAAACCCTAAATCCTAAACCCTAAACCCCAAAATCCTAAGCCCGGAATCCTGCACCCAAAGCTTGACCCAGATACCTCAGATCTCTATAGGGGATCCTTATTGCGAAAAGAATGGCTGACATCTCTTAATGTTGCACCCGCAATATTCTAGGGGGACGCTATTATGAAAAGTTTTCCGGCTATTCAGGATCTGGACCCTTTGTTTTGGGGGTCCGCTATAATGAAAAGATTTCGGGCCGGGCCTGTTTTTTTGAGGGTGTCAGGAAGGCATAAGCTTCTCGAGAAAGAGAGATACTTGAAGCCTGAAGCCTCGACCTGTCCAGGATCTCCGACAATCTTCTTTTTTCAGGGCGCCTTTTCTTTATAAATTCCTTACTTAAAACTAGATGATTCCATAGGCGAATCATATCCGGAAAGGGGGTACCTTACGGAGGCCTCCGGACACACTTTAATACCTTTGTTTGGGGGCCCGCTATAATGCAAGTCTCCCGGGGCCAGGGGCTCAGTCCTTCGGTTTTCAGGAAGGCATAAGCTTTCTCGAGAAGGAGGGATACTTGAAGCCCTCCTCGACCTGTCCAGGATCTCCGACAATCTTCTTTTTTCAGGGCGCCTTTTCTTTATAAATTCCTTACTTAAATAGATGATTCCATAGGCGAATCATATCCGGAAAGGGGGTACCTTACGGAGGCCTCCGGACACACTTTAATACCTTTGTTTGGGGGCCCGCTATAATGCAAGTCTCCCGGGGCCCGGGGCTCAGTCCTTCGGTTTTCAGAAAGGCATAAGCTTTCTCGAGAAGAAGGGATACTTGAAGCCTGAAGCCTCGACCTTTCCAGGGTCGCGGGGTAGCTTAGGGAGGCTCCGGACCCCCCCCCCCACCCGACTGTTTGGGGTCTTTCTTTATTCAGGCTCGCGACTGTTGAGGGGGGGGGGGGGGGGTAACTTATTAAAGCAGGTCCAACATTACTTCAGGTGTATCGTGCTAAACCCTAAACCCGAAACCCTAAACCCTAGACCCTAAACCCTAAACCCTAAACTCTAAACCCTAAACCCAATATGCGGCAGGTGCTTGCGCTCCTGGACGCGTCGTCTCTGGAGGAGGGCATCCGGCGGCTGCGCGAAGAGTCCGCGGACTTGAAGGCGTCCGCGGAGTTTAGGGTTTAGGGTTTAACTAGGGTTTAGGGTTTAGGGTTTAGCGTTTAGAGTGTAGGGTTTAGGGCATTTGGGAGTTTGGGGTTTTGAGAGTTTGGGAATTCTCGGGGCGCTACATAGTCCCTCGAAGGGGTTCTGAGGGGGACCCTGAATCCTGCAGCCCTAAACCCTGTCTCTGAAGGTGGTCGACCCCAACGCTCTAGCAATTTTTGCTTCAGATGATTAGGTTTGACGGTCATTTTTCTGGGTGGTTCAGACTTTGGTGTTTACGAAGTTATGAAGGGCTCAAGGTTTTCCTTCTTCCCCAATTCCCTATCCCGATCACAAGAGGGCTCGGAAGATGTACTGCTACAAGGTGTAGGGATTTGACGGAAGCCTCCACTCAATGCTTGGCACAGTGCCACACTGCACTCCCTAAACCCTAAACCCTATAAACCCTAAACCCTATAAACCCTGTCATAGGCGCGGCTGCCCGCTGGGTTGCATGCGGCTTGGCAGGCATATGGCCAGCTCTGTACATGATGGACCATTTTGGGCAACCTGAATGCAACGGCGCGTGCTATAGTAGAGGCAAGGCACATGTCGTCTACCGGTTTTGGGTGTAGACAGCTCGAGAATGTGGAGGCGTGAGCCTTGCACTTGAGCTGAGATTCCCAATTTTGGAGCTTCATCCGAAAGCTTAAAGATTCTTCAGCCCTAATGTTTGAATGCGTAACCCCCGCTCCCCGCACCCACAATGCCAAGCCCCAAGACACCAAAGCATGAACATGCAAACCCAAATCCCCGAAACCCTGGCCGCCTCTGCCGCGAACGTATATTCCTCCATGGCTTTGGTTTTCCTTGCGTGACCTACACACCCAAACAGCGAGCCCTAAACCCTAAACCCTAAACCCTAAACCCTAAACCCTAAACCCTAAACCCTAGTTCGCGAAGGGGCCAGCAGATCAGATGGGCCCGGAGCGCGCGGACATTGAGCTTCGACAGCAGCCCCTGGTCTTGCAGAGGGACTTAGAGGCGTTTAGGGGCTTAGGGATGTAGGGATTATAGGGTTTAGGGTTCATATAAGGGTTTAGGGGCTTAGGGATTTAGGGTTAAGGTTTTAGGGATTTAGGTGTTTAGGGTTTTAGCGTTTAGGGGTTTAGGGTGAAGGGATTAGCGATGTGGGGATTAGGAGTTTAGGGTTTCAGGGATTTTGGGGTTGAGGGGTTTAGGGACTCTATAGGGCTTTTTCGGTTTAGAGATTCTGGGTTGAGGGTTTTAGGATTTTCCTGAAGACTCTGATGTTGTTCCTGTTTTGCGCAATATACTCTCCGGGCTTCTAGGAAAACTATGAACAACTACAAGAGAGTCTTAGGTAGGGTTCAGGGTTTCGCGCAAGGCCTCAAAAGACATCGGATATGTATCGATCAATCGATGTGGCTCGCCAGGTGGGGTGACACTCAAACCGCAAATTCGGCTGTCCCATGAGTCGCGCTTCATAGGGACCTGTTCTTTGTCATGCAGAGGAATGTTGTGGTTGACTTGGAATAGATTCCAGTTTCTAGTTCATACAACCGCGCAGCACGTTTGATCATCAAGTGAGAAACTCTTTTGTTACCCTTGCCTGGCCGTTTTGGCCACAAGAGCCCTGTCAGTCGCTGAAGGTCCCCTGTGCTGGCCCCCAACTTCAGTCAAGCAAGGGTTGTCACAACTCGGAAGCCTACCAGTACTATACCAAAATACATATCTACCTCCCATACATCCTAAAACCTGCTGGAACTGTCATGGCTGCCCGAAACACTAGGCACTGGGGGACCCAGAAGAAGACCCTAACCGCTGGTGCACATGCGTCCGCGCTCCTCGTTCTCGGCTCCCCCCCCCCCCCCCCCAAACCCTCCCCTTTCGAATCACGGGGGGAAGAGGTGACAACCAGAATCCCGAACCTTGACCTTCAACCCAACTCCGAACCACAAACCCGCCATGAACCACAGGGGCAAGAGAGGGACCCAAGCCCTGAATCTTCAACCCGAATTAACCCTAAACCCACCATGAACCACATCGAGGGTAGAGGAGAAGGGGAGGGCGGGGGTCGGCAAATGCTGGCGCATATAAGCCCTGAACCCTATATAAGCCGAAGCCCTATGCCATCAACAAGCCTAAACCCTAAACCCTGTGAGTCTTCATCGACAATAGCAGTTGCTACATGGACCGTTGACAACCCCCTTTGAGGGATTCTGTAGCGCCCCTACAATTCCCAAACTCTCAAAACCCCCAATTCCCGAAACCCCAATCCCTAGACCCTAGACCCTAAACCTTGTGAGTCCACCTACGCTAAACCCTAAACCCCAAACCCTAAACCCTAAACCCTAAACCGCTTCGTCCCTCTCGGATCCGTTAGCGACTGGAAGGTACGCGGCAGCTGAAAGCAAGGCCCCAGGGCAGCTGGGGAGAGATCCCCATACCCCTGAACAAAACAGGGTTTATCCAGGATACAGGGTTTAGGGTTTAGGGTTTAGGGGTTTATTAGGGTGTAGGGGGGGTTAATCTATACAGAGATCCTTGTTATGAAATCTAGTTTTATACTCCTTGCGTCAGGGGTTTTGAGCTCTCTGACTGGGATGCTGCTGAGGCTTCTAGCGCTTACATCTTGTGTTTCGGTTATCACCAGAAGCAAGGAATCGATGTCATGGCTACACAGTATCCCAGGAGCCTATGCGATTTTCGCTTAATTCGGGTTCTTTCAAAGCAAGTCAGGCTGCGCAGTCTTGTTGAACGAGTCTTGTGCCTCAACCTAAGAAGCCCGAAACCCTGATTCAACCCTATTCGGGTTTATAAGCTCCATGGCAGGTAGCCCAGCTGCAAGACGCAGTGGCCTTCCTCACCCAGCGTTCCTTGGGCACCAGTTCCGGCTTTACCGGCCCCAGTTCTCCCAATCGTGGTTTAGGGTTTAGGGTTTAGGGCTTAGGGCTTAGGGCTTAGGGCTTATAGGGCTTATAGGGCTTATAGGGCTTATAGGGCTTATAGGGCTTATAGGGCTTATAGGGCTTATAGGGCTTATAGGGCTTATAGGGCTTATAGGGTTTATAGGGCTTATAGGGCTCAGGGTTTAGGGGCACGCATAGAGGGCTCAAACCCTGACCTTCTACAAGCCCCGAAGAGGTCCCAAGTCGTGAGTCTCAAGCTCTCGCACGTGCGCAATGCGCTGCCAAAGCCCTACTTAAAAGGGGTTTCGGGGTTTTGGGCTTAGGGTTTAGGGGTTTAGGGGTTTAGGGGTTTAGGGGTTTAGGGGTTTAGGGGTTTAGGGGTTTAGGGGTTTAGGGGTTTAGGGTTTAGGGGTAGGGCTTAATCGGGGTGCACTGATGAATCTTCTTTCCTCCAGCCCGAAATCAAGCCTCAAACCCTCAAGCCCTACAGCCCCAAAGGCTACCATTGAAAACGCTGTGCACGTGTGTGGGACTCCTCTACTCGGCTGTTCAACGTTCAATCGTATAGATTGTAGGGTTCAGGGTTCAGGATGTATGATACTCAAATTCCTGAAGCAAACTACGTACCTTACAAGGGAAACATACCGACAATGAAGGTACACATCGCTTTTCATGGAAAAAAGGATACCCTTATCAAACCCTACATCGCTTGTTTACAGGCATGAGGCGGGTTAGGGCGTTGGGGTTTGGGTTTTTCAGATTCCAGGTATAAGCTTGTGAACCCTGAGCCCCGTAGGGGTCGGGCCAGGTGCGGCTATCGGAGCAGCCAATGAAGCGAAGGCGGGCAAGGCGCAGGACATGCTGAAGAAGGCAGGGAGGGGCAGGGGGAGGGGTTTGAGCTGCTCGCAGGGGCGTTTTGAAGGCCAAAAGAAGGGGGGAGGGGGGTGCTTCTGGGATTAACGTTTTTTGGGGGTGGGGTGGTCCGAGTGAACCGACTCCGTTCGTGGTTCAGGGTACCAGGGTATCAGGGTATTCGGGTATTAGGGAATTAAGGTATCAGGGTATCTGGGTATTTGCGCCTTGGAAGAGCAGTGCAGTCAAATTAGGACGGACGCGACGAACCGCATAATATTGAATAATGCTCCCCTGAAGGTACAATCAAAACCATTTGGGGTTTGCGAAAACAACGTTCCGCCACTACGTAAACGCGCGCCGAAGAGAACCCTGCGCAGCTGGGAAGGGCAAATTACGTGGCAGGGGCAGTATTTCGAAGGTCTGAGTTTATTTGCATGGCTACAGTAGATCGGACCGAAATCCAAGGAACAATTGACTAAACTGCGCTGGGGCCTAGGTTTGGGCGACGTTAGTGCGGTCATGAACCGAGGTTTTTGACATGTACGTAATCATCGTGCGGCCATGGATGTTCTGGGTAATCGCACGCAGTGGTGACATGTACGTAATCATCGTGCGGGCATGGATGTTCGGGCCAATCGCACGCAGTGGCGACATGTACGTAATCATCGTGCGGCCATGGAAGTTCTGGGAAATCGCACGCAGTGGTGACATGTACGTAATCATCGTGCGGCCATGGATGCTCTGGGCAAGCCCGGTGAGTGGCGAAAAACGCGACAGGCGTGTGGTTTCTGTGTGCAAAGCACCGAAAACACTGTAAATCCCGATGCGGCCAGGGCGTCCTCCGCGCGCGTTTACGTAGCGGTGGAGCCGAAAACAAGGTACCCCTAATATAGTCCCCATAAAGTAAGATTCCTTAGCACAAGGACCCCAATGGTACCCTATTTTCGGAAACCCACATCTGTATGTACATGTACATGTGAAGCAGGGTTTATATTTCTGTTTTTGGTGAGTGTATATAAGGTTCCTTTTGAATATTGGTGAGTGTATATATATATATATATATATATTGGGTGTCCTTTTGGGGTTACAAGAAATATAAACCCTACTTCATGTACATATACATGCATTTGTTTTTGTGTTTGGGCAGGGGGGGGTAAACAGATCCTAGTAAAGAGTTGTCGTCTTTATGTCTCCAAGCTTTGACTCGCAGGGGAGGCCTTCCCAGGCCACTTGTCGTCAGAAAGGTCGGGATGAGCCTCTTTTCATGTGCTTTTAGACCCTAACCCCAAACCCTCAACCCTAGACCCTAGCGCCTGCAGCTCTTTGGACTCATGTCCTTGGCTTCTCCTGGCGGCCTGAGATGTTGCGCTCGGGGTTTGGGGTTGAGGGCTTTAGGGTTTAGGGTTTGTAGGTTTAAGGTTTAGGGTTGAGGGCTTGCGCCAAACCATGCCGTTCATTCAAGGTGCTGTTGGGAATGACACTTCCGACTCCTTCGCTTTGGGGTGTTGTTGTTTTTTTTTGTTATGTTTTTCAGGGGGGGCTTTGGGGTCAAGAGTCCTCCTCCTTTCTGCCAGGATCTTCGACGCTACGAGGCCCGGACAGACCTTCCCAGGGAGCCCAACACCCCTAAAGTAGGCATAGATCTCATTTCATACGAGGTTCATGGGTAGCCATCAGCAGGGTTATGATTCTGGTAGCTATACTTATAACCCTATTTAGGGTACTTATAACCTTACTTCTAACTACCCGTGAACCTTCAAGTAATTAGGATCCATGTTCTGTAGTCTCAGATCTCGTCCTTGATGAAGAGGCAGGTTCCCCGTGCTCCTCCGCTCCCCAGCTCCTCAGAAAGCCTGCGAGAAAGGAGAAGCAACACCTCTATTTGTTGTCTATACCCCGGACCTAGAGCCTAGATGCTCTGAAAAAGGGGAAATGGACCCAGAAGGTAGGGTTATGACCTAGAAAGAATCCCCAAATCAGAGACCCTCAGCACCAAAATTCTGCAGCCCCTACTAGCCTATGAAACTATAAAGCCACAAGAAACCCTAAATCGCAAACCCCAAACCTACCCATTACACCCCTAAAGCCCTAAAACTCCATACTGAAACCCTAGACCCTAAACCCTAAGCCCTAACAACACCAAGCCCTAAACCCTAAACCCTACACCCTAAACCCTAACCCCGAAACCCTAAACCCTAAACCCTAAACCCTAAACCCTAAACCCTAAACCCTAAACCCTAAACCCTAAACCCTAAACCCTAAACCCTAAACCCTAAACCCTAAACCCTACACCAACTAAACTTCAAAATGCCGGCGCAAGGCGCTGGAGCGACAGCTCCAGCACGTCCAGGATCGGCCCGGGTCCTAGCTCCAGGGCTTCGGGCTTCGGGCTTTTGGGGTTTGGGGTTTAGGGTGTTTGGGGTTTTGGGTTTTTGGGGTTTAGGGTTTTGGTCTAGGGTTTTTGGTGTTAAGGTTTTTGGGGGGGTTTCGGGTTTTGGGTTTCGGGTGTAGGGCTTTTGTGTTTGTTGGGGGTTTTGGGCTGCAAGAAAGGGCTAAACCCTAAACCCTAAACCCTAAACCCTAAACCCTAAACCCTAAACCCTAAACCCTAAACCCTAAACCCTAAACCCTAAACCCTAAACCAAAACGTATCAAAACGCAATTTGTTTCCTTTAGCGGATGAGCGGATTAGCTGACAAGTCCTAGGATTTACAAGTTTTTGCTTAAAATTTAAAAGTGGCCGATCTGACCCCAAACCCCGAACCCCGAACCCTGAACCCTAAACTCTAAGCCCTAAACCCTAAACCCTACTCTCAGCCGTAGGTAGGTTTCAAGGTGACTTGTGATGATTCCTGCGGGGTGCTTGTCGTCCTTGTCGCTCTAGGCCATCCTCCTCCCCGTGCTCCATGCCCCTTAACACTTAGAAAAAGGTTTAGGGTTTGGGTTTAGGGTTTAGGGTTTAGGGTTTAGGGTTTAGAGAAAAGGGTTAGCATGGTTTGCAAGGAGTTGCTTTAGTGCCGACGAAGAGTTGGTTGGCCCGGCTTCTGAGAGTTTTAAATAGGGGTGCAGGGTTCAAGGGGTCATTTTGGGTACTCTCGATCGAAGTCCAAGGCACATGTATCGACATACATCCGGCCCTCGTCCGGACTCGCTAAAGACTCGCCACGACCCGACCTAAGCCTTAAACCTTAAACCTTAAACCCTAAACCCTAAACCCTAAACCCTAAACCCTGAACCCTGAACCCTGAACCCTGAACCCTAAACCCTAAACCCTAAACCAGGTCCAAGCTCAGCGAGCTGGAAATGCTAATGCAGGGCATCGAGACTGAGAAGGACGGGGCAGACCAGCCCCAGAGAGCCCAAGACCCGATACTTTAAGGAGTAGAATAGACCTTATAAGTCATTGATGGGGATCCTCGCATGAAGTTGTGTTTATTCCGAACCCTAAACCCTAAAAGAGAGGGGGGGTTGGGGGGGAGAAGCAGGGGGGTTGGGGGGGGGAGCCCCTCCTCTCCCCCCCCCATTTGCAAACATAATGCTCACATTTATGGGCTTCAATCGTTGAGGATTACAGCCTTTGTGGCGTCATGTGAAGAAATGCAGTTTGACGGCCAGCGGAGCCTGTGAGGAGCTGCAGAGACATGGAAATTCGAGACGGGCCGAGGGAAGTGGGGGGGGGGGGGGGGGTGCGGGCCAGGGGGGCCCGTAATTGGGGACGCTAGGTTGGTCCTCCACGCCTGTTGGGTTTAGGGTCTAGGGTTTAGGGTTTAGGGTTTAGGGTTTCGGGTTTAGGGTTTAGGGTTTAGGGTTTAGGGTTTAGGGTTTAGGGATAGGATCTTCTACATTCCAGGGCCAAGCCGAATACCACTTAAAAAAAGGAAGGTGCCTCAATTCATATCACAGGATCTCTATGAGGCCCTTCTGTTATACATCTGCATGGTGACTTCTCGAAGACTGTGGCCCCCCTTCTTGGGTACTTTATAAATAGCAGGGGCCGCCTCCAAAACCCTGACTCCTCCGCACATTTCGCGGGCAAGTCAGGTTTTTGAGGGTTTCCAGTATCCAGAGCCTCCAAAACCCCTTAATTAAGGAATATACCTTAAATTATAATAGGAACCCTAATATGATTTAAGGTATATTCCTTAATAAAAGGGTTTTGGAGTTTCCAGTAAGGGCTGGGGGGGGGGGACCGCCTGCGGGGAGTCAGGTTAAAGGGGTTTTTGAGGGTTTCTGAAACCTCAAACCTGACTGCCCCGCACGGTATGGGTGGGGGTGACCTTTCGCGGGGGAGTCAGGCTTTTGAGGGTTTCAGAGCCTGATTCCGCCAAAAACCTGACTCCCCGCAAAGTCGGGTCCCGGGGAAGGGACCTTTTGCGGGGGAGTCAGGTTTTTGAGGGCTTGCGAGTTAGGTTTGTGAGGGTTTCAGGGACTGAAACCTCCAAAAGCCTGACTCCGACTCGGTTGCCCTAAACCCTAAACCCTAAACCCTAAACCCTAAACCCTAAACCCTAAACCCCAAACCCTAAACCCTAAACCCTAAACCCCAGGACGCTTTGCAGAACAATCTCGAGGTATCCCAGGCCAGGGCTGTCAGCTTGGAGAACCAGGCCAGTCGGGTTTGGGGTTTGGGGTTTGGGGTTTGGGGTTTGGGGTTTGGGGTTTGGGGTTTGGGGTTTGGGGTTTGGGTTTCGAGTTAAGGGTTTGGGGTGCGCTTAAGGCTCCCCCTTGAAGAATGTGCGCCCACCCATGATAAGCGAGTATGTAAGCAATCATGCCAAAGCAAAAGCTCTTCATTCTTAGAAGGGGACTGCGGAATGAGGTACCTCACCTATATGACCCCTGTAAGGGGCTATATGGGGCACCTATAGCTACTGCAGCTGTTGGTATTCCTCCAAGTGCAAGTACGGTTTAGGGTTTAGAGTTTGGGGTTAGGGTTTAGGGTTTAGGGTTTAGGGTTAGGTTTAGGAGTTAGGGGGTAGGGTTAGGGTTTGGGGTTTAGTTCCTGACAGGTGATGCAAGAGGATCTGCAGAATCGCCGCCTCCGGAGCGAGATGCATTCCTCGGAGACACATGGCCAAGTTCGTCTGTCGAGGACTACCCTCGATCTCTACATCTAAAATCCTGAACCAAACCCGAGTTGCTTAGAGTCAGGTACTGTGGGTCTTAAGCCTTTACGTAGCCCTGCTGTCAGCTTTTCAGGCGACATGAGGTGGTTTTTCAGCGTTGATTACTGTAGCCTGGAAGAAAGTAACGGCCTCAGGCTCTCCTGGGCAGGGAAAGCAGCGTCCGTCATGCTTGAAAAACTGAGACACCCGCAAAGCTGCCCTAAACGCGGATTTGCCCAAGGAAGCAAGCTGAGAAGTTGCACGGACACCTGCAGCGCCACTTTGCCAAAGTTATTGGGGTTCAGGTTTACTAAGGGTTACTTTCTAGTACATGTAAGACCCCAAGCTGTTCTGGTCGCGGCTGGGACCCTTTGTTAAGGGTTACAGTGGTTCCTTTATAGTACATGTAAGACCCCCCAAGCTGTTCTGGTCGCCGCTGGGACCCTGAAAACTGCCCGCCGACTAGGGTTAAGGGATATGGTTTGGGATTCCAGGCCTGCCCCCAAACCCAGCCGATAGAGTAACCCATTACGCGTTAACTCTTGCAATCGACAATGCCAAGTTACTAGGACCCTTTTCCTTTATGAAGCGTACATATGTGACTGGGATAAACTTTAATTAAAACCCTAGAAACCTCTGACTGTCTAAGACCCAGAGTGGGCCCTTATTCCCTTTTTTTGGGGTTTCGGTTCCTTTGAGCCACTTTAAACCTAAAGGGGCACCCTTTTATTCCTAGGTTACTCCTGGGTCTAGCTGTTCAGATGTCGTGGACTCAACGGCTCTATGGTTTCGTTGGGGTATTGGGGTTTAGGGTGTAGGGTTTCGGGTTTAGGGTTTAGGGTTTTGGGCTGGGGTTTAGGGGTTAGGGCTTAGGGTTTATGGCTTAGGGCTTAGGGTTTACAAGGTCCGGAGCATGGTAGGCTGATTGCACAATTTTTTTTCTCCAGCAAGACCCTCAAAGCCCCCAAACCCTTAAGCCCTGAAACCCTTCAACCCTAGGCGGGGGCAACCCGAAACCCTAAGCCCGAAACCCTAAACCCCAAACCCTGAACCCTAAACCCTAAACCCTAAACTCCAAAGAGGATTGGACCTGGAGTTGTCTCAAGCTGGCTCTGACCGGAATGCGCTACTGGGACTCGTTTTACGGGATTCTGGGCTTTAGAGTTTAGGGTTTGGGTCGGGGGGGGTGGGGGGTGGGGTTGAGGGTTTGGGGTTTTGGGTTGTGGGGTTTAGGTTTAGGTTTTTTTTTGGGGTGGGGGGTGAGGTTGAGGGTTTGGGGTTTTGGGTTGTGGGGTTTAGGTTTAGGGTTTAGGTTTTTTTTTTTTTTTTGGGGGGGGGGCTCTTCTAGGGTGGTTGGGCCTGGCCTTAGTAGTTTAGGGCTTTAGGGTTTAGAATTCAGGGCTTGGTGGTGTAAGGCGTGGAGCCGACATGGATTTGGGCTGTGACATAGCTGCCAGGGCTTAGGGGCATGTGAAGTAGGGTTTATATTACTGTTTTTGGTGAGTGTATATAAGGCTCCTTTTTAATATTGGTGAGTGTATATGTTTGGTGTCCTTTTGGGGATACAAGAGATATAAACCCTGCTTCATATGTGGCGCCGAAAAGTCTGCAGAGCAGTACCTTACAACTTGTCGGGTCATGCCAGGATCCGAGGATCTAGCCTTTCGTTTTGTCCCTTATGAGCAACGTGTGAGGGGGGGTTAGTGCCTACAGGGTGTGCTTTATGTGATATCCGCTCGGGTTTTGAGAAGGGATTCCCAAATCGTCGCTTCAGGGCCCAAGGGCCCAAGGATATGCAAAGAGATCGGTACCTCCCTAAACCCTAAACCCTGGACAATGAAGGCCCTAACTAAACCCGAACAGAAGCCCTAGAGACGTATCTCAGGTTAGAAGCCTGTCGCACAGAGCTCCAGGCCCAGCCATATCTGGGCTTTAGGGTTTAGGGTTTTAGGGTTTAGGGTTTAGGGTTTAGGGTTCAGGGTTTAGGGTTTAGGGCTTAGGCTTTAGGGTTTAGGGTTTGGGGCTTTAGGGTTCAGGACTTACGGTAGCTTTTGGTTTCGGCCTGTTTGTGGGGGTGGGTTTAGGGTGTATGGAGAGCCCTCCTTCAAAAGGGGATATGCGCCACCCAGGTGTGACTAAAGTGTTGAGGTGCTGAGTTAGCAAGCAGCGTTTGAGAGTGAACTCATTGGGAAGCAAGACAGCTTCCCATGTCAACGCATCCCAGCCTGCCAAGATATAGTAAGTAGGTTGAAGGCTTGCGGCTTCGGGGGAGACTCAGCGAAAGCCTCTTGTCGGACACATGGGGGGGTTTCCGAGTACCAGAACAAGGGTTCTCATTATCAGGGAATCCTGCGATTTGGGGATTTCTATTGGGGTCCCTTTTTTTGGTAAACCCCCACATATGTCCATTGTCCCCCCATCCTTTGCCTCCTGCATACTGCAAGCTCTAAACCCTATGCCATTTTTTCCCTAAACTTGAGATGTTCCCCTTTTACTAACACTCCTTAATAGGGAGTATAAGATGGGGTACTATACATATTCCCCATTGAGAACTGTTCGTATAAGGGGGAAACTCCCAACCCTAAACCCTAAACCCCAAACCCTAAACCCTAAACCCTAAACCCTAAACCCTAAACCCTAAACCCTACAGAATGCCTGAAGGCCAAGCGTCTGGAGCTCGAGATGATGCAGGCTCAGCTCCGCAACGCAGACGCCGCCCGCGACCACGCGGCAGCTGGGAGCTGAGTGTGGGGTTGGAGGTTCATGGTAACCCAACTATAACTGTACCTATAACCCATTAGGACCCTGTTAGGGTTTAGGGTTTAGGGTTTAGGGTTTAGGGTTTAGGGTTTAGGGTTTAGGGTTTAGGGTGCTTAAGGGGCGTATACGTGGGTTCTAACTGAACTTATATCTGAACCTCCAAGTGGGGGTTGGCTGCCACCTAGAGGACCCAACGGAACTTCTCAAAATCATGGTCCCTTTTGGGTTACTATTCTAAGGCGGCCCCGAATCATGTTAGAGGCCCAAAAAGGGGCCATATTTTCGAGAACTGACCATATACCCTTGCACGCGAGGTACCTTAATCATGAGGCGTACTTCCCTTTTTTAGCATATAGCGGTTACGGCAAGTCTATACCCTTAAAGGGAATGGAGCCAGTGACAGTGGGGTTTTTTTGGGGCAAGTTCCGGGTGTGTGGTTTAGGTTGGTATGTTCCGCCATATACTATAACAGTCCTGAATAGGGACCATAATCGGGGGAGGTACCAGAATCCCTGTTCAGGACTGTTAGCATGGGGCATGGGGGGGGGAGGAACATCCCGAGGTTTAGAGTTTATGGTTCAGGGTGTAGGGTAAAGGGGTATTGAGGCTGAAATGTCCAGCGCGTCCGAAGCTGACCTGACGCTCGGCATGCACATGGTGTAATGGGTTTTAGGGCGTATCAGGGTTAGCATCGACAGCTTGTGCAGCGTTTTGCATCGATCGGATTTCTTTGCCCAGCCCTGTCTCTCTAGTCTAGGAACACCCAAACCCCTGAACACAAGAACGCTAAGCCTTAAAACTTATCAGCCTATACGCCTTGATCGAACCTCAAAGCCCTGAAGAAAACTCAAACCCCACACTACCTACACACCCTAAAATCCTACAAACCCCAAACCCCAAACCCTAAACCCTACACCCTAAACCCTAATAGCTACATCCCCCCCCCCCCCAAGCATTGCTGGAGCCCAAGGAACGCGCAGAAGGCACTGGTGGAGCGTTTGGAAGTGCGGCTGGCGGGAATGCAAGACGCTTGGGAGGCGCCAACTCTGAGAGCTTGTTTGTTTTTTTCTCGGGTTGAGGGCTTATGAAACCTAAAAAGATGTGTCTAAGATAACGTTAGAGTTACGCTCTTTCCCTAAGCCTGACACCCAAAACCTGCACACCCCAAATTGCCTGATTTTGGGCAGGGTGGCTTGGTGGCAGCTCTCTGGGTTGAAGGGGATGGGTCTGGGGTTGGGGGCTTGGGGTTTATGGTTTAGGGTTTAGGGTTTAGGGTTTACGGTTTTGGGTTTAGGGTTTAGGGTCTAGGGTTTAGGGTTGGGGGTTTAGGGCAGGGTTTAGGTTTTCTTGAAATTATTAAGGGTTCAGGTCCGCGGAAAGTTTCGAGGAGTTATGGGGAGTTTCCGGGGAGTTTCGAGGAAAGTCTTGAGGAGCTCTGTTACGTTTGGATAATTTCCAGCTACGGGCTCTTGAGGGTTTAGGGTTCGGGGTGCAGGGTTTAGGGTTTAGGTTTTATTGAAATTATTAAGGGTTCAGATCCGGGGCAAGTTTTGGGGAGTTTCGGGGAGCTTCGAGGAAAGATATTAGAAGCTTTCTTGTTTTACTCTTGGAGAGTTTCAAGCTAAACAGGGTTTAGGGTTCAGGTGCTTGGCACGTGATGGCACAGCCGCGGGTGTTGACGGCAGATAGGGGACGCGCTGGGATTCTCGGGTCTAACTGCACACCCCGAAGAGCCCAATGCCTCTGAATTGAGGACTACCTCTTATAATGATATGGGTGGTTGTCAAAATTATGGTCCCTTTTTGGTTCCCTAGTAGAATACGGTCACCTAATATATAGGGTACCCCAAGAGGGATCATGATTTTGACAACCGCCCATATGAACTCGGGCATTTTCTTGAAGTAAGTGATGTTGGGTTTGCTCGGTGCCCTGTGGACAAACGGGACACACCTCAATTGCTGTCTAGTGCTTGGGGTGTTAGGGGGCTCTGGTTTTTTTTAAAGGTTCTTTGTAGAGTACACTATATACCGTTAGGAAAGGGAGGTATACTGCAAAGGTCGGGTCCGCGTTCCTTGTTGGGGACATCAGGTAAGGACAAGCACTGAGTGAGATTACTGTGCGGAGGTCGAGGGTGGGGGGTGGGGGGTGGGGAGGTTAGGATCCTTCAAGCTCAGGATTTTCTTTTTTTGGGGTTGGTGAAAGCTTCATCTGCATAGGTGAGATCTGAATGCAACCCCCGAACCGTCGATCCCAAGCCACAGTAACTCCCCAACAATGATCGCATTTGCAGGACCACGCGCAGAGGCTGGCCACTTCCAACGCCAAGGCTGGCTCCTTATCGCAGAAAACCCTAACCCTAAACCCTAAATCCCTAACGGGTTGAGGGTTTAGATTCATAAAACCCTACCCAGAATGTCACAGTAACCTGGAGCGCTCATCCCCTTGACCTGAAGACTCTAGAAAGTAGCTCCCCTCTGAGCTTCGTTGGGCACGTTTAGGGTTTAGGCTGCAGTTTAGGGTTAGGGTTTAGGTCTCAGGGGTTTAGGTTTATCGAAAGAACAGTAGACCACCCGACCGCCCTAAAGATCTCCACACCGGAGCCTGAATCCAAAGCCCGATCTTGACTTCCCCAGTTCGCCTGATGAAGAAGGCGCCAGAGATCGAAGTCAAATGCCCCGTATCGGGTTCATGCCCCAAGACCTTTAGGACCTGGACCCTAAATCACCCTAAACTCTAAACCCTAAACCCTAAACCCTAAACCCTAAACCCTAAACCCTAAACCCTAAACCCTAAACCCTAAACCCTAAACCCTAAACCCTAAACCCTAAACCCTTCGCTCGCTGAATTTACACGGCAACGGGTGAAGCTTCGAAGGCCCGGCGGCTGGAGGATGTGCTGGACACGCAGGCAGGAAGCTTGGAGTTTTACAGGATTTGGGGGGTCGGGGGTTTAGGGTTTAGGGTTTAGGGCTTAGGGGTTAGGGGTTTAGGGGTTTGGGGGTTTGGGGGTTTAGGGTTTCGTTGTTGGGGGGGGGGGGGGGGGGGGGGGGGGGGGGGGGGGGGGGCTTCGGGGTTTCGGGTTTAAGGTTTTGGGGTTTGTGGCTGGGGTTTAGGGTAGAGGTTTCGCTGGAAGACACCGCTGTAGGCCCGGGCACCACCGGTAGAAGCAGCATTTTTTGTTTTTATCTTTTTTGTTGGGGGGGGGGGGGGGGGGGGGAATTGGAGCGCATTGAGACGGAGGCCTTGCTCACGATTCAGAAGGATGTTGATGGATTTCTGGTGTGGGGTTGCTTTTCTGGGTTTTGGAGTACTATACTTTAATACTGTTTGTTGGGTTCTGGGTTCTAATTATAGCTACTTCTACCTTAATTAAAAAAGTATACTTTTTTGCAGGGTCCAAAGTGGGGTTTGGATTCACACGGGCACGCCGAGCCCTGTCAAAAGGGCGTGCCAGAGTTTTATGGTACGTAGGTCTACAGTTCAGGTCAGCAAAACGTCCGAAGTCCCCAACCCAAGATGTGAAACCGCAAGTCCAAAATCCCTATACTAAACCCTGAACCCTGAACCCTAAACCCTAAACCTAAACCCCAGCCCTAAACCCCAACCCTAAACCCTAAGCCCACTAATTATGAGCCCTGACACCCTGGTTGAGGATTGTAGGCTATCAAGGTTTGGGGTCTTAAGCTTCAGGGGTTTAGGGTTTTGGGGTTTTTGGGTTTTTGGGTTTTTGGGTTTTAGGGTTTTAGGGCTCAGGGGCTTAGGGATTACCCCGCGTGAGGCGCGGGACCTCCAACAACAGGCTGGCACTCTCCAAAGCAGGGCGGGGGAATTGGCCCTTCGCACCGGAGAAGCCTCTACACCCTAAGGAACGGTAATTTGTCGCTCTCATTCTCCCCTTAGAATCTTATCAAAACTAAGATCTTAAACCCTAATCTAATTAGGGTTTAAGATACTAGTTTTCATAAGATTCTAAGGGGAGTGTAGGAAAAGGGGGACATCCAAGAGAGCCCAGACTTGGTAGGTTACTGGTAGCCTTTCCTTCTTTTTTTGGTTCAAGGTTCCCGTATACAGGAACCAGCCCATACTAGATCAGTGTTAGGGATCCTCTTTACTTTTTGGGTTATGGGCTTTCTTATAAATGAACAAAAAGGATCCTGTTTTCTTCCTAGGGGAAGAGGGATTAAGCATACAGGGGTGTCCTTACGAGAATACGGTTACTGGGCTACCAAGCCTTCTTACCAGAGAAGCCTCTAGACCCTTAAGAACGAGGAACGATCGCTTTAGGCCTACGAAAGGGGAAGTCTGCGCTTTAGGGTTTAGGGTTGAAGTTACTTGCACTACCGGCCCTGCTCAGACGTCTGTATCGGGTTGCTCAAGGTTGCCCGAGGTACCCAACCGGTGTACCCTTTAGATGAGGGAAGCTACCCTAGTCCGTAAACCCTCTTGTGAAAGGTTGCGTGGGTTTCGGAAAACCCTAAAGCACGCACCTACCCGATGCCCTGAAACTGATACCTTCTCCCTGGGCCTCGCGCGGTGTCTTCAAGCTTTGAGGGGGTTTACATTGGCACGCCCAAAAACCCTAAACGTTATAAACCCTGAAAACTTTCAACTTCAGCTAGGGCCCCATATGTACCCTTCTAGGATGCCCAGTAGTGCCCTTATTCCCTTTTTTGGGGCTCTGGGTTCCCCTATAAACCCCTTTAAGCAAAAAAGGGCACCCTGTTTAATCCTAGGTTACTGGGCAACCTAGCCTTTAAGGGAGGATGTAGGTTACCTCATTCCCTCATTCCCTACTAAGAACCCGCTTGCTTTTTCACTTTCAGGAGTCGGCGTTTGCGCCCTTGGTCCATGAAGCTGTCAGAACACCCTAAACCTAAACCCTAAACCCTAAATCCTAAACCCTAAACCCATCTCGGAGCTTCGAAGGCCCAAGACCAGGAACCCTGAGCCCAGCCCAGCCTGGCCACCTTTTTTTACACTCTTCAACAGGGTGGGTGCCTTGGGATATTATGAATATATGTATATGTATATGCTTTTTCAATTCACTAATTATGTGTTTATATACTAGATTTCCCCTAAGTGGGTTCAGGAGGATCATGTGGAGGAATGTATTTCAGAGGTCTTATTAAAGGGCCAACCTAGTATAAGCCCCTTTAGCCTGAAAGGAGCTTTTCATCATCCGCTGTCGGTACTCCCCTGAAGGTCTCGAGACACCAGGTGGAGGAGGAGCTTTGCCGAAAGCTCACGCCCCTTGTTCGAGGCTTTAGGGGCTAGGGTTTAGGGTTTAGGGTCAGGAAGGTTTGCGGTCTCGGTTTGCATGAGGTTTCCAGCAGGTTTGCAGGGCTGTTTAGGAATTTTGTCTAGGCCGACGGACCCTTGCGAGTGTGCGCGCGCGTCTCCGTGATCCACCTGAGGTACACGACTGGCTCATCTGAACGCCTGAAAGCGCAGCACTGGTCCCAAAACCAAGAGAAATTAGACGCCCTACAGGCCACAAGCCATGAAATTCCCAAATCCAAATCCTTACAAAAGCCGAATAGCTGGGAAACCAATCGAAAGTCGGGTTTATATAGCTGGGGAGTGTATATAGGGCTCCTTACAAATATTGCTGAGTGTATTAACAGCCATGCTTTGGGATGCTCCCCCCCCCCCCCTTATACTAACAGTCCCGAGTAGGGATTATAATAGGGGGTACTACAATCCCTATGAACGACTGTTAGTATAAGGGGGAACATCCCAAGCCCATGCTACAAATCCCTTTTCTCAAGTCCTCTTGTCTGGATCCCCAAGTTCGAGCCCTTAAACGCTACACCCTAAGCCCTAAACACTAAACCCGAAGCCCAAAACCCCAAACCCTAAACCAGAAGCCCTAAACACTTAACCCTGAACCCTAAACCCGAAGCCCAACCCTAAACCCTAAACCCTAAACCCTAAGCCCTAAACCCTAAACCCGAAACCCTAAGCACTAAGCCCTAAGCCCTATAAGCCCTAAGCCCTGCACCCTAAAGCCAAGGACGGCGTGTGCTGAGCTGGAGGATGAGGCCTTCCAGCATCGCCAGCAGGCAGATGCCTTGAAGAACCTCGGCTAGGGGTTTAGGGTTTAGGGTTTAGGGTTTAGGGTTTAGGGTTTAGGGTTTAGGGTTTAGGGTTACAAGAACTAGAACTACCAAGAGTAACACCTTCTCTACCTTCACAAACTAGGGAAGATGATCCATACTTCTTGAGTCCATGTCGCCCTTTGTTGCCGGCCATATAGGTTTACATTCTCAGGGGCGCCCTGAACCACGATCCTTACGCTGACCAAAACGCAAGCATCTTGGCTACTTCTAGTGTTCTAGGGTGCCCAGTAGTACCCTTATTCCCTTTTTGCGGGGTTTAGGTTCCTCTATAAACCCCTTTAAGCAAAAAAGTGCACCCTTTTTAAGCCCGCTGCGCAGGATCCCCAAAGTAGATCTCCCCTAAGGGTTGCTAAGAATGACCCAAGAGTAGTATAGGGGTACTTTTTGGGGTTCTGTTTGTGTTGGACCTTGCAGGGCCTGGGATGCCTTGATCCGGGGGGTGGGGGGGGGGGGGGGGGGTTATTCCTATGGATCCACGTACCTATATAGATACTTGTTGGGCTTTCAAGCTCATATGTGGGAGCCCCTTTAATTTAAGGCCCAATTAAGTACATACTGAACCCTAAACCCTAAACCCTAAACCCTAAACCCTATTTAGGTACATGGATCCTTAAGGGTATTTGGCCTTGAGGAGCGAGACGGCCGCGCAGAAGGCGAAGGAAGTCACTATGGAGGCACGATCCCAATTTGTGGAGGGCAAACCAGACTTCTTAGAGGATCCAACAAGTAGAACCCCCAAAAAGACCCAAACCTACTACCGGGTTATTCTTAAGGGTAAACCCTAAACCCTAAACCCTACTAAACCCTAAATCTGCTTTTAGATATTAGGGTTCAGGGTTTACGGTTCAGGGTTTAGGGGTAGGGATTGTAGAGTTTCCTTTAGGGGTAGGGATTGTAGAGTTTCCTTGGGGCGATTCTATGATGTAAGTCGCAAGGTTTCCCTAACCCCAAACCCCAAACCCCAAACCCTAAACCCTAAACCCTAAACCCCAAACCCTAAACCCTAAACCCTTGAATGTCTGTTCTTAAGTGAATGTTTGTATGTAGTGTGTAGATATGCTGACATGTTCCTGCGCCCTAGTTCCGATCAGTTCTTGTGGTTGCCCAATGGCTTTTGCAGCTTCAGAGCTGCAGGATTTAGGGTTCAGGGGTTGGGGTTTGGTGTTTGGGGCTTAGGGTTTAGTGTTTAGGGTTTAGAATTAAGGCTCTATGTGCCGCACTGTTGCCTAACTTCTTGTCATACCCTTGCGACCCGGACTTGCCAGAGGCAGTGGCCGATCGCCGGGAGGCCGACCTCGCTCATCTGACACGCCTGTTGGAGGAGCGGGCAAGCCTTGAAGTCTCAATGTGAGAAGCTGTTCAAATTCCCGCTTCCCCCCGCCACCCTAACCAAAAAAAACGAAAAACAGTCGAAGTCCCTAAACCCTAAACCATAAACCCTAAACCCTAAACCCTAAACCCTATTGATCCGATGTGCCTTCGAGGCCCGGGAGGCTTGTCTTGTTATAGGTCTTATAGGTCACCCCTCAGCGCCAGGACCGATGCTGGATCCTGCTTAGACCAACTTGTCCTTTTTTTACAAAACAGGTCCACATTATATATTGGTTAGGATCTCTAAAGTCGTTTGTGTTCTTGCCTTTTCATTCCTGAAACCTGGAGTTTATGATACTTCTTACGAAAGCTAGATATGCCCCCTTTGAGTAGTTCTAGCTGGTAGATTGCATTCAGGGCTTCCCAAAGTGTGGGCTGAAGGTCTGAAAGTGTTGGTAGTTCTACCCCCTGAACATATAGTTTCGACCCGAACCTTACACCCTAAACCCTAAATCCACCCCCCCCCCCCCCCCCCCCGCATATTATAGAGCCCTACAGCCGGCCCTACTGTAATCCCTAAATCGTGCACTGATATATATATATATATATGCATATATATCGATATATATATATATGTGTGTGTTAAAGGTTAGCCCCGCAAACCCGTGACCCCACACGTCAAGGGACCAAAGGAGGGACCCTACTTAGGGACCTGAGGGGCTCTTTGCGGGGTATTTAGGGGCTACTTAGGTATGTACGGGACTATAGAAGGTGTATGTAAGTGTTACAAAGGGGATTAAGATTAAGCCTAACCCAACACCCTAAGCCCCAAGCCCTAAGCCCCAAATCCTAAACCCTAAGCCCTAAACCCTAAGCCCCACACCCTATAGTGGCAACCTCAAGCCTACTTCGCAGGAGGTCCGGGGTGAGTGCAGAGACCACCGAGCCAGCTGCCTCCGCCACCAGGTCTGTGTCCATCCGAAAGAGTTTTACCGTGTGGGTTTTGGGTTTTGGGTTTAGGGGTTTAGGTTACCTGGTAAGTTTTGGCTTTCGGGTTTAGGGCTTCGGGTTTGGGATTTAGGGCGATCTTTTTTTCGTGGGGTACGTACACTACGTCCCCTCAATATGAGTAATTCGGGCCTGTATGATACTCGGTTTTAGGGTTTAGGGTCTAGGGTTTAGGGTTTAGGGTTTAGGGTTTAGCATTTCTGGATGCTTTCAGCTGGGTCGGTTTTCCTCTGCGCAGTCGCTTCTTTGTTCTTGTGATAGCCTGTTGAACTTAACGTTTGCATCGTGAGAGGATGTAGGGTTTCTATACTCCCCTTAGAACCTTAACAACAATTATTTTTTAAATATCTTCTTGGGTTTTATTTAAGCAAAAAACAATTCCCAAGGGGGCTGTAGGCTTAGGGCACATAAGGTTAGGCTTTGCTGCCTCAAGTCAGTTGAATGCGGATCGATGTATGGGGTGCGCGTGTAGGGTGCATACCCAGGATGGCCAACATGTTGAGAACTCATCTTTGCCACGGGATTTAGGGTTTAGGGTTTAGGGGTTTAGGGTTTAGGGTTTAGGGTTTAAGGTTTTGCAAAGAGGATCCAACCCGGCAGCCATGTCTATGCCTCGGGATGTTCCCCCTTATACTAACAATCCTCAATAGAGATTATAACAGGGGGGTACTATAATCCCTATCTGGGATGCCCAGTAGTGCCCTTATTCCCTTTTTGGGGGCTCTAGGTTCCCCTATAAACCCCTTTAAGCAAGAAAGGGCACCCTTTTTAATCCTAGGTTACTGGGCAACCTAGCTATTAAGGACTGTTAAGTACCAGGGGGCACAACCCAATCTACGGCAGGCGACCATCTGCGAGCTCCAGCATTTTCAGCAGGAAGTGGCTGACATTCGGGCGGAGACCGGCGCACAGATCGAGAGCCTGCACTCTGGAAGCACTTGGGCTTCCACGAAAATAAGGGGCCCCCTAATATGGACCCCCCCCCCCCCCCCCCAAATAGTAGGATCCACCCAAAAAGAAGGATCCCACTAAGGCACCCCGAATGTCGGAAACCCGGTTAGGGATAATTAAGCTTAATTAAGGTTATTTAAGGGCGGAACCCTGGGGGGGGGGGGGGCGGGCGGAGTAGAGAGGGGGGGGAGTAGCCCTAAAACCCTAAACTTGGGGGCTGTGTAGGGGTTTGTCTGAGATCAACATTGTGAGGATTTGGGGACGGAAGAAGGCCCTGCTGGAATGCTTAAGCCCTAAACCCTAAACCCTAATCCTAAACCCTAAACCCTAAACCTTAAACCCTAATCCTAAACCCCCAACCCCAAACATGAGGGCCTTCGCTGGCACCATCGGTTTAAGCCGCGTTCTCAAGTCGCCAAGCAAGTTTTTGAGTCCAAATGAGGAGCCTGTGGGCCTCCACAACAGTGAAACAAGTCTCAAGAGTCTTTTCGTGAAGAGCTAGGGTTTAGGGTTTAGGGTTTATAGGGTTTAGGGTTTAAGGTTTAGGGTTTAGGGTTTAGGGTTTAGGGGTTTAGGGGTTTAGGGTTTAGGCATGCAGCATTCAAGCTGCGACGCAGCCTTGCGTCAAAGCAACGCCGAAGTCAGCCCGCTCCCGTACTTGTCTGTTGCCAAGCCTTCTTACAAGGAGGCCCCCCCCCCCTAGTCATAAGTAGAGTTATAAGATCCCTAAATTGGGTTATAAGGATCCTAAATTAGGTTATAAGTCCCTTGACTACAGTTAGTATAGTAAGGGGGGCCCCTCCTTGTAGATGTTCAGAGGACCGATTCGGCTGGGCTGCTGCTAAGGACTTGGCAGCCCAATAAATACCCTTTACCCCTTTTTTTGGGTTCTGGGTTCCCTTCTCAAGTAACCAACCAAAAAAGGGTGCCCTGATTAAAAAATTTGGTTGCTGGGATACAAAGAGGAACTTCAACTTGTTTACTTGCATGGATGATAGATAAGAAGCAATTTAGCAAGCACAGGTTGCTGAATACGGTGTGTTACAGGAAGCAGACCTCCCGGTCAGGATCCGGTCTCCCCTCTCGTCTTCCAGAACTCCGAACTCCTGAACTTCTAGAACCCTAAACCCTGAATCCTAAATCCTAAATTCTAAACTGTAAATCCTAAACCCTAAATCCTAAACCCTAATCCTAAATCCTAAACCCTAAATCCTAAACCCTAAGCCCTAAACCCCTCAGGGAAAACGAGGGCCGACAGTTGGCCCTGGAATGCGCCGAGCTTCGAGCGGCCTTGCGGGATGCCGAGGATGTGCAGGGGCAGCTCGGAAAGGTTTAGGGCTTAGGGGTTAGGGGTTTAGGGTTTAGGTTTTAGGGTTTAGGGTTCAGGGTTTAGGGTTTAGGGTTTAGGGCACTCCCTCAACTATTACAGGGGCCATTTCTACTCGTAATTTGAATGGGGTATTGGGCGATTATTATAGGAACCAGCAGGGTATGCTATCTGTAACTATTCCGACCCATATGAAGCAGGGTTTTATATTACGGTTTTTGGTGAGTGTGGTTTTAAGGTTCCTTTTAGTATTGGTGAGTGTATACCTTGGGTGTCCTTTTGAAGATACAAGAAATATCAACCCTACTTCATATTTTTCCACTACGCTCTTAGACAATGACTCTAGCAAATAAAGTGTTCCATTTTTCTTCTGCCACTATGGGTTTCGGGTTTTAGGGTCTAGGCTCTGGGGTATGTTACGATGTCATTATACTATTGTGCAGGCCCTAAAGGCCCTAAAGCCTTTGGCTCCCATATAAAAACACAATAATACTCCCCCCCCCCCCCATGCCCTATCCAAATTACGAGTAGCAAGACCCCCTAAACTTGAAAAACCCTAATCCCAAAACCTTAACCCTAAACCCTACACCCGACCGTGTTGCTGGTGTAAGAACTGAGCTGTAAGGTGCTTTATTGTAAGTTTAGATCCTTAGCCTTTTTGGGCTTACTGGGTTTCTTAATAAGGCAGCTAAAACTCAAATTTATCGCTACCCGGCTAAGTGCAGCCAAGTGAGAAGTAGAAAAATATGCTACAGGGTCTGGCTCCGAGATGTGGTCGCTTGTTTTCAGTTGCTTTTGCGGCAACCCAGTAGCGTGTTAGAGAACAACCCTAAACCCTAAACCCTAAACCCTAAACCCTAAACCCTAAAACCCTAAACCCTGAATCCCTGAAACTCTGAAACCCAAGCTGCCGTAGTGCTGACTCCTTGGTGCTTCAAGCCCTTTCCCCGGATACATGGGGATCGACCTGACTGCAAGTTATGGGCCTTAAGTCGGGTCTGCCTGTTGTACAGCAGGTTCCATCGGGTGACCCTAAACCCTAAACCCTAACCCTAAACCCTAAACCCTAAACCCTAAACCCTAAACTTCTCAGCCCACGGAAGGTCAAGACCTCTTGTGCGGGCTCTAGGCTCTCGGCTCTAGGGTTTATCGGGGTTCGGTTCGAGTTTGTATGCACCCGTAACGTATAAGAGCGAACATGCCCTAGTCGTTGTGTCCATATCCTGGTTATTCTAGGTACCTATAAACCCTAAACCCTAAACCCTACTCCCTCCCCCGCCTCTCAATCCTCTCTCCACCTCTTAGATAAGGGGTCTTGGCTTCTCTGGGCGACCCAGGCGCGAGCGCCAGGCACTGTTGGCCGAGCACGCGGAGCTCGAACGGGCCAGCGTAGCTTGGACTGATGCCCTCAACCCTACACCCTAAACCCTAAACCCTAAACCCTAAGGTTTGTAGGGTTTAGTGTCTAGTTAGGCACCGAAGCCCTGAACCCTAAATCTTTGCCCTTTAAGATTTGCCTTGGGTAACCTACATACCCTAAACAAGAGAAAGTACTTTAGTCATTGCTCTTTTTGGGGGGACTGGGGTAGGACTTCATGTAGAATGTCTGGGAAATTCTTGGTTAAGCTTTAGGAGGGCCTGAACGCCACGGACGAGGAAGAGGGGGTGGGGGGGTTGTTTTTGTTTGGGGGTCCTCTTGGTCAAGGGGTTTCATTGTGAACCTGACCTTTGGGAAGGCTTAAGGAGATAAACCCTAAACCCCTAAACCCCTAAACCCCTAAACCCCTAAACCCCTAAACCCCTAAACCCCTAAACCCCTAAACCCCTAAACCCCTAAACCCCTAACCCCCTAACCCCCTAAACCCCTAAACCCCTAAACCCCTAAACCCCTAAACCCCTAAACCCCTAAACCCCTAAACCCCTAAACCCCTAAACCCCTAAACCCGAAACCCGCAACCCTAAACCCTAAACCCTAAACCCTAAACCCTAAACCCAGCCAGGCTCTCCATCAGAGCGCCGTCTCCCAGAGCACGAAGCAGCGCGACGTGCTTTCCAAGCAAAGCGGCGGCATGTGATTTTTGGGTTAGGGTTTAGGGTTTAGGGTTTAGGTTTAGGGTTTAGGGTTTAGTGTTTAGGTTTAGGGTTTAGGGTTTAGGGTTTAGGGTTTAGGGTTTAGGGTTTAGGGTTTAGGGTTTAGGGCTTAGGGCTTAGGGCTTAGGGTTTAGGGTTTAGGGTTTAGGGTTTAGGGTTTATGGGAGTTTTCGTTGTAACCTTCAAACTTCCAAGTTCCTACTGGGTTTATGGGAGTTTTCGTTGCAACCTTCAACCTTCCAAGTTCCTACTGGGCAATTAGGGAATGATGTGCATAAACAATGAAGTAAGCGTGTTTTTTTTTTATGTATGTATCACATACGATATATATATATATATACAGATTTAGATATAGATATAGATATACATATTTGTTCAGACACTCACTCCTCCGCCGCACAAGCATCAGAGTTCCATCCAATTAAGCTGTGTACAATGCAACCAAGCTGCCGTAAAAGGAATTACTGGAGAAGGGCGTGAAAGTTTGGGATCCAATGGGCATTAGCCTGCCTCGAACCGTTAAGGACGAATCTGGTCTGATCAGAAAGGAAGAGGGCCCACAATGCATTAGGGTAGGAGACCTTCTTCCGCCCTACAATGCCAGCAACATCTCCGCCCAAGAGCTCTCTCTGTGGATCGGTGGATATTGGTTTTAGGGACGCAGGCCAAGGCCACGCCGCAGGGATGCATGGCTTTGCACATATAAGTTTTCATTCTCCGAGTGAGGCGGGACATGGGCATTCCAGGAGTCAAGAATCCACCACAAAAGCCATGATTAACGAGAAAATAGCACACCAGCTCTATCCAAGACATCCAGCTGTTATCATCATCGTTCGGCAAGTACCTTTCACCATCCTTGATGAACTGAATAGCCGCCGTCATTCCAGGAATATTTCGGGGAGTGGAGCCCCAAGAAATGTTTTCAAGCAGGCTATCCCGAGGGAGCGAAGTGAACACGAAACTGTGTCTCAGCACTGCTGCGTATCGAGGATATGATCGACAGACTGAATTCTGCAAGCTCTCAGGGACAGGCACACCCTTACGGACAAAGTCTAGAAAGGCTTGGGAATACATATAGATATAGATATGGATAGGGATATGGATATAGATATAGGAATAGATATAGATACGGTTATGATTTTATCTGCATTTATCTATGTATTAATATATTTGCATGTATCATGTAGCTAGATGCGTAGCCAGGGCCCAAATTCCTCAGCACCATGTTACTTTGAGCTGTGCACCCTAAACCCTAAACCCTAAACCCTACACCCTAAACCCTAAACCCTAAACCCTAAACCCTAAACCCTAAACCCTACACCCTACACCCTAAACCATACGACCCCTAAAATCGCTCGATGATGCGTCGAGCTACTTTGAAGGGGGGGGATCGCTTCAGCTGAGGCAGCTGCTAGAACTGCAAGAGGAGGCGCAGGAGCAGCAGTACCAGCTTGCAGGCAGATTCAAGGTTTGAGGTTTTCACCCCAAACCCGAAGCCCTGAACTTTGGGTTTGGGGATCCGGTAATTCTCACCCAATGAACATTTAGAACCCGTTATTGTATAGTACCCTAAACCCTGAACCTGTACGGTTCTTGGAGTTTAGGCTTGAGGGTTGGGAATTCCGGAAAAAGGGCATTTACGATGCAAAGGGCCTCTGGCGGGGATACGAGGCTTACCAAAACCCTAAAGCCCCTTTTGCTCAAGCCCTACTAACGCCAGACACCTCCTACACCTCTTGCCATCGGTTCCTATACCTAGAGTAACCCATGTACCTAAAAAGCGAAGTACATCAAAAAATGTGCCCATTTCTCGCATCGAGGATAATCTATGTATGCTTCGTAGGCCTGTGGTTCCTCGAACCAAGAGAACTATCTAAATTGTTGCAACTTCGTCAGTCTCGTTGATAGCATGTATAGGGCATGTAACCCCAAAGGAACCATAGCTTCAGACAGCTTTGCCTAAGAACTCTAGCCCAACAACCTACGAACGCAGAACCGTTGACATAAAACCCTACACATTGGGATGTTCCCCCTTGTACTAACAGTCCTGAAATAAGGATAATAACCAGGAATAGTATTATCCCTATTGATGAAGGACTGTGTTTTTTAGGGGGAACCTCCCAACCCTAAACCCGAAACCGCGGCAGGGATGGCGCGACAAGAGGCGACCCAGCAGCACAGGTTTGGCCTGATCCAGCAGGACGCCCCTCTACTATTTTGGGTTTAGGGTTTGGTGTTTGGGGTTTAGGGTTTAGGGTTTAGGACCTCCCAAACATATGAGCAGATGATCCCTATATTACCCTTATAATTAAGGAAGAACATTTGTAGTTTTTGGTGGGTTCTTAAGCAATTGGTACTGCGATGTTCCTGGGGGTGGGCCTGACATGGTGGGTTTTCCGAAAATCGGGGTACCCTTGTTGTGGGGCCTCTTTATAAGGGAATTCTACTCTATGCGGGGGGTATAAACAGGGGTACCCCTATTTTGGGAGATGCCCAGATGGAGTTTAGGTTTCGTGTTTTGGGGTCGACCAGGATGTTTCGGGGTTCGGGTTCGTTTGGGGTCCAGGGTTTACGGCTTGGGGGAGACTAGGCCAATGACAAGTGCATGAGGAGTTATTGGGAATCAGCACTTACGGACATCCGGCGTGATGGATGTGGGGCTCAGCATCTAGGGCTTAGGTATCCGAGTGATGGGTGGTTGCATGCCCCAGCAGGGAACACCGCAAAGGTGCTCATGCGGACCCCCTGAGAAGTGTAGACCCCCCTCTCCCGCCCTGAGCTTGGGCAGCTGAAGCTCGGCCATAAGGGAGCTAGGTGATGGGTTTAGGGTTTAGGGTTCAGGGTTTAGGGTTTTGGGATTAAGACATGCTCAGACATAGCCTTCGACAGCTTGGAGCTTCAGGCGTCAGCTTTAGAACTCGATCCTCAAAAGCCCATCTTCTTGGTTGATGTGTTGCGAAGCAACCTGGGGTTCAGAGTGGCTAGGTAGGACCTTGGGATGTATTGTGCTATCCCTTACTGGGTTTAAGAGGATTCTACTTAGGAATAGGTTTGAGCAGGTTTTAGGGGTCGTTTGTCGACAGCTTTGAATTTGTCAGAGTGGAACCCGTACTGTTTATAAAAGGCAGAAGTGCTGATAGGATGTACCTGGTGGTGCAATTCTAACGGTAGTTACATGGTCCTTAATATGGTCCCTTACCTTCTTTGAAGGGTTCGGTGGGATGGGCCCTTGGGTTTTGCAGGGCATGTAAGGGGTCCCCTTTTAAGGGCCCCTTTTTTACGGGATATGGACCATGTAACTACCCTTACAGTACTCCCGGGTATCGCGAGGAGCCTGGGCTCGATCAGGTAGATCTTGAGAAGTAAAGCAGAGCACACTCGCAGGAACGGCGCTTGAGCCTGAGGGTTGGGCTGAGGGCTTTTCCGAGCATCCTATGTTCATATCCTGAGGAAATAAGGAAAATGCACCAAGAACTGTGGCACTTTGGGTCAACCGTTCCGTTTAGGGTATAGGGTTGAGGGTTTAAGGTTTAGGGGGTCCCCTGGAGTGCCCACCCCCAGACAAGCCCACAGAGAGTCTCGCTGAATATCCGTGACTCAAGCCCATGGAGAGTCCCGCGACAGAAGCCGTCGGCAAAGTATCCCTAACTTAACCTGTACAAAAACAGCAGGATGACATCGGTTAGTTTTAGGGTCGGGATGGGTGAAGTAACTTTTGGGGGTAGATAGGTTGCTCTAGACTCTACTTGAAGGATCAAGGGACTTCGGAGGTATAGCGATAAGTACCCTACTTGGGGTTATAAGTAATTGCAACTATAGTTGCCCGGATTAAAGCCCTACTTACGAAGTCCCCTGATCCTTGAAGTAGACCCTACACCCCCTAGCCCTAAACCCCAAACCCTAAACCCTAAACCCGACATGGATGATCCTTTAAGTAGGTATCGGGGGTTCCAGGAGCTGACTGCGGAGTTGGGCCAAGCAGCGCAGCGTGGCGACCGAGCGGAGGTCCTCTCCATAAATCTGACAAACCCAACCCTTCAAGGTTTAGGGTTTAGGGTTTAGGGTTAGGGTTTAGGGTTTAGGGTTTGAACATCATTTGTAATTAACAATTACCCTTAGTTCTCTATGTACTCCTTCTAAAGCCATAAAAGTCAATTTTTGAAAGGGCACCCAACCCTACCCCAGCCTGGTTGAACTTTGGGACCAAGGGACCCTAAACGGTTCTAGGCTTTAGGGTTTAGGGTTTAGGGTTTATGGTCGAGGGACCAAGTGAACCCCTAAAGGGTCAATTGTCCAAATTCCTTGTAAGAGGGATTAGAGTAGCATAGGGATATGATCCGCATGTAAGGGTTGATGTGGTCACAAGGCTGTAGCTGCAATGACTCACCATGTGGGTTACTCAGGTCCCTTATCACTCCTTAAATAAATAAGTGGAAGTGCAGAGTCAACTCCAACACCCTGATGGGGTTTAGGGTTTTGGGTTTTAGGGTTTAGGGCCCTAAACCCTCAACCCTAAACCCTAAACCCTAAACCCCTATGAGCCCGAGAGCCTGAGCTTGCTCCTAATTTGGCTGCTATATACAAGGGTCCATGTACCTCTACAGCATACATCTGGGCCTGAACGCTACTACGGTATAGGAACACCGTTTACGTCCTAAGCCCTAAGCCCTAAGCTCTAAGCCCTAAGCCCTAAGCCCTAAGCCCTGAGCCCTAAACCCTAAACCCTAAATAAACCCTATAAACCCTAAACCCTAAACCCGAATCGGTGTGGCCTTTGAGAGGCCGCTTTGGCAGATGCCCTGGCGAAGGGCGCTGTGCCGCGGCTATCACTGTCAAGAGACGGGCCATTGAAGTCATGGGTTTCCCTAGTACCCCCCTAAACCCTAAAACCTAAACCCTAAACCCTAAACCCCCCTCCACGAACCCCTTATATGGGTTCCCCCCCTCAAATAACCTCAATTAGGCTTAATTATCCCTAAATTGCCTTAGGCTTGTTGGATGTAGGGGTAGTTAGGGTTTGTATTGGAATCCGAGAAGGTGCTCCTCAACCTGTTTTGGCTAGTACTCACCCCTGAAAACCCAGGAACGCTCAGCCAGCAAGAATAGGGGCTATGGGCGGTTTGTGATGGGAGTTTCCATGGTTGAACCAACTGATAAAGCGTGACGCCCCTCCCGCCCGACCTTAAAACCCTGAACACTAAAACCTTCGAGTGAGGCCATGCTGAAGCAAAATCAGGGCCTTCTTCGTGGCTGCTTGGAAGAATTCTTCTCTCCAGTTGTCTGAAGGTTCTTGGCAGTGTCATCTAGGAAGTTCCGGGTTCGAGGCCTGTCAGCATAGCGGCTTAACGTGTTCCGATTCTGACCGGTGTGCCTGTGCCGACCGAGACCATGAAGAGAAGGATGCAGCTTCTTCAGAGCGCTCCACGAAGCTCCTGAGCATGTTGGGCGAGGTGCAAGATGCCCTGGCGCAGTCCCAGGCCGTGGCAAACCAACATCAGGGGGATGCCGAATCGTGGAAGATAGCCCACGAGAAGCTGCAGGAGGAGCTCACAACCGTGAAGACTCGATGTCGGTCCGCTGAGTTGCAGCTGCAAGACAGCCAGGGTGAGCTGCAAGTCTGCCAATCGGGTAAGGAGCGTGCGGAGCAAAGTATACGAAGGCTTCAAGAGCAAGTTGGCAAGGTGTCCGAGGAGCTCGGCTCTCTTCAGCAGGCACACGACCGGAAGGAGTCGGGTTTGACAAATTCTGAAATGCGCTTGTCAGAGCTGCAGATGAAAGCTGACCGACTTGCACGTGAGCGGACGGAGCTAGAAGCTGAGCTGGAGAAGGCCCGCAAAGAGACGCAACAAAGCGTTGCGGAAGCACAAAGCCTCCTCCAGCAAAAGAGGTCCGAGGTCGCAGAGCTGCGCGCAACCCGAAATGAGAGCCGCGCGCAGCAGGAGCAACTTGTCGTTCTGCACAAAGACCTCGAGGATTCTCAACGCGTCCACGAGAAGCTGCAAGAGGAGCTCGCAAACGTGAAGACTCGATGTCGATCTGCTGAAATGCAATTGCAAGAAAGCCAAGGCCAGTTGCAAGTCTGCCAATCCGGCAAGGAGCGTGCGGAGCAAAGTATACGCAGGCTTCAAGAGCAAGTTGGCAGGGTGTCAGACGAGCTCGGCTCGCTTCAGCAGGCACATGACCGGAAGGAGTCGGGTCTGACAAGCTCCGAAATGCGCCTGTCAGAGCTGCAGATCAGAGCTGACCAAGCTTCACGCGAGCGGACGGAGCTAGAAGCTGAGCTGGAGAAGGCCCGGAAAGATGCTCAGCAGAGCGTTGCGGAAGCACAAAGCCTGCTCCAGCAGAAGAGGTCCGAGGTCGCAGAGCTGCGCGCAGCCCGAAACGAGAACCGCGCACAGCAGGAGCAACTCCTCGCTGTGCGCAACTAAGTAGGCCCTTGGTATATTTTATACTTTCCCTTCTTGGGTTTAGGGTTTAGGGTTTAGGTTTAGGGTTTAGGGTTATAGGGTTTAGGGTTTAGGGTTTAGGGTTTAGGGTTTAGGGTTTAGGGTTTAGGGTTTAGGGTTTAGGGTTTAGGGTTTAGGGTTTAGGGTGGCCATCCTAGGCAAAGACCTCGAGGAGTCTCGGCAAAGCTGTCGAGGCTTGGAGCAAGGCCTCTCAGAGTCCTCCGCACAGCTTCTTGGCAGCCCAGTGGTACCCTTTTCCCTTTTTTTGGTGCAAGGGTTTAGGGTTTAGGGTTTAGGGTTTAGGGTTTAGGGTTTAGGGTTTAGGGTTTAGGGAAGTTTAGGGTTTGGGGCTTAGGGTTTAGGGTTTTGGGTATAAAACCCATAAGACAGGTCTTATTATAACGATGGTTCTAGTGGGCCACAAGGCTTCAGATGGCCACCGAACAGCGGCGGCACTGGACCCTGAAGCGCGAGTACCAGGAGCGTGCCATCCTTGGTCTGGAAGAGCTGCCTGGTAGCCCAGTGGTACCCTTTTACCCTTTTGCAAGGGTTTAGGGTTTAGGGTTTAGGGTTTGGGTTTAGGGTTTAGGGTTTAGGGTTTAGGGTTTAGGGCTTATAAGGCTTAGGGTTTAGGGTTTAGGGGTAGGTAGCCCAGTGGTACCCTTTACCCTTTTATTGGGTTCCGGGCTCCCTTATGAGAAGTAACTATAACCCAAAGAAGGGTACCCTTATTATACTCGGAAAAAGTAACTATAACCCCAAAGAAGGAGTACCCTTATTGTCATATGTTTCCTGGGCTGCTAAGGCAGGTGTGTAGGCTGAACGAGGAGATGTGCCAGTCAAAAGCTCAGAGGGAGGAGCAGCAGGTCAAACTGCGATCTGCCGAGCATCAAGTGATGGAGATGGAGCAGACGACTCAAGTCATGGCCAGAATACAAGACACTTACTTGGGCCAAGAGTTGAACTTTAAACAGTTTGGGCCTCCTTATTTTGTAGGAATACTAAAGTTTAACCTTTTTTTATCCTTGGTCATTGGAGAAGCAAGGACAAGGCTTTGGGTGCCCATGCTTCCAAGGAGGAGGCGGCGGCGGCGCGGCTCGTGGAGCTGGAGGCCTCCCTGAGCCAGCTGCGCTCCCAGCTGGCGCTGCGGGAGAGTGAAGCTCAGCACCACGAGCGCCAGGCCGAGAGCACCGCGGCGCGCGTGAAGGTGTTGGAGGCCAAGGACGCCGCGTGCGGCAAGCGCACGGCCGTGGCCGAGGCACGCGCCGCCGAGCTGGAGTCCAAGCTGCGGCAGCTGCACGCCACGTCTGCGCACGTGCAGGAGCAGCTGGGCCGATGCCGGGCAGAGCAGCTGCAGCTGGCCTCGGAGAAGTCCCACCTGGAGGATCAGTGTCTGGCCTGCCAGAGGCGGCTGGCCGATGCCGAGGCGCAGGTGCGCGAGGCTCAGGCAGAGCGCGAGCACTGGAAGGCCCAGCAGAAGGTTCAAGAGGACCGGGCCTGCCAGTGGGAAGCCAAGGTGGGAGAACTCCTGAGAGATCTGCACAAAATCCAGAGCGAAGGCCTTCCCCAGCTGCCCTCCCATGCCGGAGTCCAGGAAAGGCCAGAGCTGCTCGGCTAGTAGCGTTCAGGGCTTACGGTTTGCTCAGATATTTCGATGACTGTGATGACCTGGTGTTTCTTACTCCTTCTCCTTCAGCTAATTTACGATCAGCACCACTATTTCTATCAGTGGTTTTGCCTCTTGCCATTGCCGACGTGAGGGGTTCGTGTGCTTCGCAGGGGCGAGGTCAAAGTCTGAGGGTGTCCGCAACCCTAAGAAACCCTAAACCCTAAACCTTATAAACCCTAAACCCAAAGCCCTTTGAAGCCCCCTAACCCCGACGCCGCTCTCCCTGGTGCCCTAAGGCTCAAAAGAGGGGAGGGGCCCTGAAACAACACGCCCCCTGAACCCCTTGAACTCGAAATCCCCCTAAAACCCCCTGAGCTTGGTAGCCCCGTAGTCCCCCTTGCCCTTCTTTGGGGCCCTGGGTTCCCTACCCCCCTAAAAAGGGTGCCCTTATTATACTTAGCACTAGACCCCTCGACCCCAGACCCCGAAAGCCTGCAAGCCCTCGAGCCCTAACCTTCACCTTCAGTCCTGAACCCCAAGCCTCAAGACCTAAAAACACCAGGGCTTCACTAAACCCCCTAAACCCTCAAACCCTCAAACCCTCAAACCCTCAAACCCTCAAACCCTCAAACCCTCAAACCCTCAACCCTAAACCCCTATAACCCTTAAGCCCTAAGCCCTAAACCCGAAACCCTTGCAAGCAGCTTAAGCCCATACTTTCCGGTCTTTTGGCAAGCCCAGGGTCGGCCCGTTGCTTCGGCAGTTCCAGGCACCCGGGTCTGCAGACTCTGTGAAATCTTCCTCTCATAAATGAGTTTAGGGTTTAGGGTTTAGGGTTTAGGGTTTAGGGTTTAGGGTTTAGGGTTTAAAGTAGGGTTTAGGCACTAACTGGAGGTTTCCGATCACAGTGGTGTCTTTTGTGGGTTCCTAGAAGGTGGAGTTAACGTGTTTTTAGGAAACATTCAATGGGGTTTTTGCCTCGGGGTTTCCGATGTCTTGCGGTTCTCGCCCCTAAGCACTGCCTTACTTCGGCGTCCCTTAAGAGGAATGACTTCCCCTCCAGAATTTGGGATGCTCCCCCTTATACTAACAGTCCTTCGCAGGGATTATAATGGAGGGTACTAGAATCCCTATGGTTAAGGACAGGTAGTATAGGGGGAACATCCCAATATGTGTAATGCCTTAGCGGCTTTTACAGGGGGAGTTGTGAGGCACCTAATGGCAAGCTCAATTTCCTAACTCACTGCTACTCCCAAGCCTACCTCGTTCGGCTCTTCAACTTAGGGTTTAGGCTGATTAAGGTTTAGGGTTTGAAGTTGCAAGGTCCTTACTTGGGAGTCCTTTGAAGGGTGACACTGCTTTATCTGGGGATGAAGAGGCCCTGGAAGTGCTTCTGGAAACTCCCAAAGCTTGCTGTTGGTGAGTAAGGAATGAGGGAATGAGGCACCCTATATACTCCCTTAATTAATCGGTACATAGAAAAAGATATAGGGTACCTCATTCCCTCATGCCCTACCTGACCAACAGTAAGAAAATAGGCATCCCATGCGCCCAAGCACCTAAACCTTGGGGCCAGACGTCGGCGGCACGCGAGAACGCGGCATCTGAGATGCATTGCAGAGACTTGTGGGGTTTAGGGTTTAGGGTGTAGGGTTTAGGGGGCGCGCAGTGGGTTTAGGAGTGTGTCGAGTATAACTCCACACCCTCGACAAGAGTTGTAGGAATCTCTCTGGGGCTCCTCCGACGCTTAACATGTGCATCACCCCGGGTTTCGTGCGGAGTTTTGCGTTGAACTTTACTAGTCTCCTGTTGTTCGCCAGTACCAGGTTGTGACCGATGTCGTTCCTTGAAGAGTGTATGCAGGTCAGCTGTGCAGTACACAAGCATCACTCTATAGGGTATTGGGACACTAAGCCCGAAGCCGCAGATCCACAGCGAGGTCCAGTCCTGTTTACTCGCCGCGCATGGCAAGCTGGAGGAGATGGGTGATGGCATGGTTTTCACTTGGAACGACTCCCCCTGCTGACATGCTCCTAGGCCCCATATTTACTCGTAAGAATGGCCTACATGATTGGAATCATAGGCATGTAGGTTCTTGTTGCCTCATTTTTGATATTATGATGATTGCACGCAGTGTGGGTTTGGGCAACCTCATACTTAGTTGGTCATGATCCTGAACCTCCCTGCCTCAACCCACCAGATCTAGGGCTTCGGGGTTCCCAAGTAGGATGATAACAATCCACAACGAGACATCATAACCCACCACATATTGATTATGCCAAATTGCAACTACCAACAGCATTGAGCACTAAATCCCCTAAAGCCCCCTAAACCCTAAACCCTAAACCCCCTAAAGCCCCTAAAGCCCCCTAAAGCCCCCTAAAGACCCCTAAAGCCCCTAAAGCCCCCCCCAAAGCCCAAAAGCCTCTTGGCAATGAATTCCCCCCCCACACCCTAAACCCTAAACCCTAAACCCTAAACCCTAAACCCTAAACCCTAAACCCTAAACCCTAAACCCTAAACCCTAAACCCTAAACCCTAAACCCCACACTTCGGCAGGAAAGCTACATGGAGGCCCAGCGAAGGCTGGTCGCAGCAGAGGATCGAATCCTTGGGTTTTAAGGTTCAGGTGGGGTTTTTAAGTGGGGTGTTTACGGTTTAGGGTTCGGGGTTTAGGGTTTGGGGTTGAGAGTTAGGATTTAGGGTTTGGGGGTGCAGAGGTTTAGGGGTTTAGGGGTTAGGGGTTTGGGAGTTGAGGTTTAGGAGTAATCATAGGGTTTCGGGTTCATGGTTTTGGAAAGCAATCGTTCTACCAAGAGTAGCTAATGGACCTCCAACACGGGAAAGTGCCTTTATCGTTTGGGTCCACATCCCTGCCTGGATTACTCTACTTAAGGCTTAAGGCTTTGGGCTCCGCAGGGTCCGTGGCTCTGTGACTAAAGAAGCCAGATATGGGGATAAGGATTTATGGGTTTTGGGGCCAGAAAGCCCCCCCCCCCCCCCCCAAGCCTTGAGGGCCAAACCACCCGAGAACACATACTTTGTATGGTCATCTCAAACCCTAAACCCTAAAATCTTCAAGACCTTCCAGAGACCCAAAACCCGAAGCCCTCAACCACAAAGCCGGGCTGAGGGTTTGTAATTAAACGGTTTAGGATTTAGGATTTGGGGTTAGCGCTTCGGGCGTCCGCAGGAACGTCTCCAGGAGCTGCGGGAGGAGTGTGCCTACGGCCGGGTACCCAGGTCTTAGGGTTTCAGGACGGGGGAGGCAGAAGGCAAAGCACACCCACCCAAGGATTTAGGGTTCAGGGTTTGGGGTTTAGGGTTTAGGGGGTTTACAGTTCAGGGCAGTACGTCAAGTCCCCGATGACAAGAAGCATGACAATGCCAGCAAGGAACTACTTCTAGGCTGTTAGGGTAGCCACCCCAAAGCCGCTGCCCTAAACGATAGACCTGGGTCAGTTGAGTTGGGTGTATTGGCGAGGGGAGGGGGTCAAAGGGTTGGCAGCAAGATCGCTAGGAGATTTCGGCATAGCGTGCCGCAGATCGCATGAACGGGCGCACAACATGTTTGAGTGAAACTTGCTGCGTTGCCATGTCGCTGGCAAGGCTTTCCAGGGATTGAGGCTATAGCATTGCAACAACCGCAGGCAGAAGCACGCTGCATGGATTGCAGAAAGTGTTATGCAAGTATCTTGCTGCCGGGGCATTGAAAGTCATGTCAAGTCTTATCGCCGGCAGATCCGGTCGCAACACATATTTGAAGTAGGAAACCGATATTCTTGGGAGGTAGGGTTTTAAGTCTCAAGGATTGACTTCAGTGAAACCCTAAGGCCTTGGAAGATGAAATCATCCATGAGACCAGTACCAGAGGCTGCCCAAATAAACCCTTTGGTTGGGGGGGGGGCGGGAGGAGTCTAGGGATGAGGGTTTGTAGGTGAAAAGGGTTAAAAGGGTCCTCAAGCAAAACCCCAGAAGCTCTGTGAACCCAAAATGCCGAACCCTAAGCCCTTAACCCACCAAGGCCCACCGATCCAGATGCCCGAGCGGGTGATCCCACCTGTTCCGGAGGTCCATCGGGAGGGCTTAGGGTTTAGGAGTTCAGGGTTTATGGTAGCTCCCCAATGGTTCTTTTGTCTAAGAGTGCAACGGGCTTCACAAACACCCTGAACCCTAGAACCACTGCCCGGCGCAGCAGATGTTGCAAGAGAAGATGAAGCGCAAGATATGCGTTGGTCGATCGTTTATTTCTGGGAAGCAGGGCTGCCATGCAAAGTCAGCTCGAGTGCCCGGAGCCTCGGCATTTGCAGCGTCACGTCCCACGGACAGAATCGGTGACGGTCAATTGCCTAGGAATGTAGTTGTAGTCTACCGGTTGAATTCGAAACTGTCCCAAGGACCGCCGGCAGCATGCACAAACCCTAAACCCTGAACCCTGAACCCTAAACCCTAAACCCTAAACCCCAAACCCTAAACCTTCGAGTGGGCAGTTTGTGTATTCTTGGGGGGGTACGCCTCGTCAGGAGCCTCGCGTAGAGCCGGTGGTCGGAAACGGATGGGATGCGCGGCTTGGGCTTGAGGGGCTTGAGGGGCTTGAGGGGCTTCAGGGTTTAGGGTTTAGGGTTTAGGGTTTAGGGTTTAGGGTTGAGCCAACACTCACAAACCCCAAGCCCTACAGGGTTCAGACTTCCAGGGTTTGGGGCTTCAAGTGCTAGGGCGCAAGTGCGCAGGCCCCGTGTGAGAAGTCTGAGACAGTCAGATCTAGATTTTTGAACTCGGGCCCTAAACCTATAGAATCCATAAACCCTCGGAAGCCATATACATAAATAAGTACATCTACATAGATATCCCTACAAGCCCCATCCAAGCTCAACCTTATGAACCCGAAGCCCCAAGCCCCAACAAAATGGGGCTTTGGGGTTTTTAAGCTCTCCAGTGTTTACAAGTTCTATAAACCCTACAAACCCCATAAACACTATAAACCCTGGACACCCTCTCAACCCTACAACCCTATATGCATCCTAAACCCTCTAAACCCTCTAAACCCTACAAAACCCGATAAAACCCCGTAAACACCTTGAAAAACCCTATAACACCTCCAAACCCTAAACGCCCTACAAACCCTGTAAACCCTATAGGGTTATAAACCCTATTAAACCCTGCAAACTCTCTCAACCCTGAACCTTGAACCCCCCCCCCCCCCCCACCCCAAACAAAAACAAAAACAAAGCACAAACTGGAAACCTATAAACCCCCACAAGCCCTGAACATTGAACAAACCCCAAAAAGCGTTTAAGGCTTGTAAGGTTTGCAAGGATTGTGAGGGTGAAGGGTTTTTTGGTGACGTCTTGGCAGCTTGGGGATGCTCCATTTCGGGTTTAGGGTTAGGGTTTAGGGCTTTGGGTTTAGGGTTTAGGGTTTAGGGTTTAGGTCCGCCGAGGCAGGTGCACGAGGATCTCCGAGCGCAAGCTGCCGAGCTCAGGGAGCTCTCGCCCTCCGGCGCTTGTTCGTCTGAGGTTGAGGGCTTGGGGGTTTAGGGTTTAGGGTTAAGAGTTGAGGGTTGAGGGCTATAACTACTAGAATTCCCGTAGGGTCCCTATGTAAATGTACTAGTCTGAGGTTGAGGGCTTGCGGGCTCAGAGTAGTCCTGGGACCCTGTTTACCTACTTTTTTACTACGAATTGCTCAAGAACCCCCCCCTCAAAAAAAAACCAAGGTTTTTCCGTATAAGGGAAACATGAGGACGATCATGTTTTTTCAATTTTTCGGGTTCTTCAGCAAGTAGTAGTTTGTGGTTATACCTACTACTTCAGGTAGTTACTACTAAACTGTAGGGAAATAGAGTCTCAGGTTGTTTAACGTAGGGTTCGGGTTAATTACTAGTAGTATTCCCTTAGGGTCCCGTTTATATTGTACTCTGAGAACCCCCCCCCCCCCCCAAGACCCTTTTCTAATGGCTTAGAGGATTCGCTGCAAAAAGGGCTTGAGGGGCTCAGAGGGTCTAGATTTATAGGGTTTGTAGGGTTGAGGTTGTGGTTTCATTGGTTTTGAATAGAGTGTGCTTATCTTGTAGAGTTCAGCGTTGAGTTTTGCTTCTGCAGGGCTTGTGGATTCATGTCCGGGGGTTACAGGGCTGATACGAGTTTTAATTTAGGGCTTCCAGGGCTGAATAGGTTTAGCACCTAAACCCAAAACCCTAGAACGCAAAACCTAAACCCTAAACACGCTAATCACTCAACGCCTACAATCCGTCTATGCTCCCCAACCATGTGCCCCTTGTCCGCGCCAGGCTTTCGGATTTGGGGTTTGGGTCTAGAGTCTCTCGGGTTCTTAGGGAGGGTTTAGGGATTCGGGCTTAGGGCTTAGGGTTTAGGGTTAGGGTTTAGGGTGGTTTAGGGTTTAGGGCGTTTGTGCTGGCTTCAACGGCCCGCTGAGGCAGCAGAATGATGCACTGCTTGCCGAGAACCAGGGCTACAAAGATGCTCGGCAGCCTGATCAGCCTGCAACCCTATCTGGGTTCTGGAGTACTATACTTTAATACTTTTTTTGGTTCTGGGTTCCTATTGGATCTACTTATACCTAAAAACATATTTTTCCCAGGGTCTACTCCAAAGCAGGGAGTTGGGATATTCCCCCTTCATCGAACTGTCCTGAATGGGCTGGCTTATTAATAAGGGGTACTGGGAACATCCCAACCTATAAGCCTTTAAACCCTAAACCCTGAAGCCTAAACCCCAAGACGAGATAGAGCTTAAGGGTTTAGGGGCTTTAGGGTTTGATGCGGGTATGGGTGTGTGTGTGTGTGTGTGTGTGTGTTTTTTTTCGGGGGGGGGGGGGGCACGATCGACCTCACACATATTGGGGCTGCATTTGGCTTAGCCGGGTGAGTCGCAGCTCCAAACACCCAAGCGTCGCAGCTCCAAACACCCAAGCGCGGAACCCCAAACCTGCAAAGTCAAAAACGGAAGCCCCTGAAAAATTGGGCCCCCGAACCCATGAAACCTGAACCATATACCCACAAACGCCAAGTTTACCTTTAGGGTTCAGGGCTCGCTCGGGGTTTGGTTTTTACTTCTTTCTGTTTAGGGTTGGCTTGATTCGGGTTTAGAGTTAGGTCTTGGACTTTGGGTAGCTGTAGGTGGGGTTAGAACGGTTTCTAACGGTTAGAACCCTGAACCCTAAACCCTAAACCCTAAACCCTGACCCTAAAAGTGAAATCTGGCTACCCCAACATAACAACCCATGAGCTTCGGGAACCTGCAATTGGGGCTGTTTCCCAAAATAGGGGGTACTTCTTTTTACCCGAATTAGTTAGGGCTTTAGGGTTTAGGGTTTTGGGTTAGGGTTTAGGGTGTAGGGTGTAGGGTTTAGGGTTTAGGGTTTAGGGTTTAGGGTATCCTTTTAAAGTGGACCCCCCCCCCCCCCCCCCCCAAACAAGGTACCAGGGTACCCCCTATTGTCGAAAACCCACATTTTGGGAAGTACATCAAATGACCTTTAGGTGAGTTTGCTGGTTTTTTCGTGAGGACTCACTTTCGAGGGACTCTCGTCTCAACGCTTCGTCCCTTTACGCGACCTTTAGAACCCCCACACAGGAGTGCAACACTATTGAAACACACCGACTCTGGCAGCCCAGGCCTGAAACCCTAAAACTGTATGTCCTTTGGGTTTTTTTTACAGTAAAAACGCTGTATAAGAAAACGGTTTTCCGGCGATAGGGTACCCTAAGTTTCTTAGTTTCCATTACCCATGTACCCGGGGGGGTTTGAGCCTAGGGTAGGCTTGGTTTCTAAACTAATTTCTTAAGGGAGTACGCTATACCACTAGACCAAACCCATGTTCCAGGAACGGCGGTGGGAAGGGTTCCCGAATGTGACTCCCGCGCGTTTTTGGGGTAGGGTCAGGCCGCAGGCGCGGGGGAGTCACGTTTTAGAGCTTTTCAGGGCTGAAAACCTCTAGAATGTGACTCCCGCGCGTTTTTGGGGTAGGGTCAGGCCGCAGGCGCGGGGGAGTCACGTTTTAGAGCTTTTCAGGGCTGAAAACCTCTAGAATGTGACTCCCGCGCGTTTTTGGGGTAGGGTCAGGCCGCAGGCGCGGGGGAGTCACGTTTTAGAGCTTTTCAGGGCTGAAAACCTCTAGAATGTGACTCCCGCGCGTTTTTGGGGTAGGGTCAGGCCGCAGGCGCGGGGGAGTCACGTTTTAAAGCTTTTCAGGGCTGAAAACCTCTAGAATGTGACTCCCGCGCGTTTTTGGGGTAGGGCGCGGGGGAGTCACGTTTTAGAGCTTTTCAGGGCTGAAAACCTCTAGAATGTGACTCCCGCGCGTTTTTGGGGTAGGGTCAGGCCACAGGCGCGGGGGAGTCACGTTTTAGAGCTTTTCAGGGCTGAAAACCTCTAGAATGTGACTCCCGCGCGTTTTTGGGGTAGGGTCAGGCCGCAGGCGCGGGGGAGTCACGTTTTAGAGCTTTTCAGGGCTGTAAACCTCTAGAATGTGACTCCCGCGCGTTTTTGGGGTAGGGTCAGGCCGCAGGCGTGGGGGAGTCACGTTTTAGAGCTTTTCAGGGCTGAAAACCTCTAGAATGTGACTCCCGCGCGTTTTTGGGGTAGGGTCAGGCCGCAGGCGCGGGGGAGTCACGTTTTAGAGCTTTTCAGGACTGAAAACCTCTAGAATGTGACTCCCGCGCGTTTTTGGGGTAGGGTCAGGCCGCAGGCGCGGGGGAGTCACGTTTTAGAGCTTTTCAGGGCTGAAAACCTCTAGAATGTGACTCCCGCGCGTTTTTGGGGTAGGGTCAGGCCGCAGGCGCGGGGGAGTCACGTTTTAGAGCTTTTCAGGGCTGAAAACCTCTAGAATGTGACTCCCGCGCGTTTGTGGGGTAGGGTCAGGCCGCAGGCGCGGGGGAGTCACGTTTTAGAGCTTTTCAGGGCTGAAAACCTCTAGAATGTGACTCCCGCGCGTTTTTGGGGTAGGGTCAGGCCGCAGGCGCGGGGGAGTCACGTTTTAGAGCTTTTCAGGGCTGAAAACCTCTAGAATGTGACTCCCGCGCGTTTTTGGGGTAGGGTCAGGCCACAGGCGCGGGGGAGTCACGTTTTAGAGCTTTTCAGGGCTGAAAACCTCTAGAATGTGACTCCCGCGCGTTTTTGGGGTAGGGTCAGGCCGCAGGCGCGGGGGAGTCACGTTTTAGAGCTTTTCAGGGCTGTAAACCTCTAGAATGTGACTCCCGCGCGTTTTTGGGGTAGGGTCAGGCCGCAGGCGTGGGGGAGTCACGTTTTAGAGCTTTTCAGGGCTGAAAACCTCTAGAATGTGACTCCCGCGCGTTTTTGGGGTAGGGTCAGGCCGCAGGCGCGGGGGAGTCACGTTTTAGAGCTTTTCAGGACTGAAAACCTCTAGAATGTGACTCCCGCGCGTTTTTGGGGTAGGGTCAGGCCGCAGGCGCGGGGGAGTCACGTTTTAGAGCTTTTCAGGGCTGAAAACCTCTAGAATGTGACTCCCGCGCGTTTTTGGGGTAGGGTCAGGCCGCAGGCGCGGGGGAGTCACGTTTTAGAGCTTTTCAGGGCTGAAAACCTCTAGAATGTGACTCCCGCGCGTTTTGGGGTAGGGTCAGGCCGCAGGCGCGGGGGAGTCACGTTTTAGAGCTTTTCAGGGCTGAAAACCTCTAGAATGTGACTCCCGCGCGTTTTTGGGGTAGGGTCAGGCCGCAGGCGCGGGGGAGTCACGTTTTAACGTTTTAGAGCTTTTCAGGGCTGAAAACCTCTAGAATGTGACTCCCGCACGTTTTTGGGGTAGGGTCAGGCCGCAGGCGCGGGGGAGTCACGTTTTAGAGCTTTTCAGGGCTGAAAACCTCTAGAATGTGACTCCCGCGCGTTTTTTGGGGTAGGGTCAGGCCGCAGGCGCGGGGGAGTCACGTTTTAGAGCTTTTCAGGGCTGAAAACCTCTAGAATGTGACTCCCGCGCGTTTTTGGGGTAGGGTCAGGCCGCAGGCGCGGGGGAGTCACGTTTTAGAGCGTTTCAGGGCTGAAAACCTCTAGAATGTGACTCCCGCGCGTTTTTGGGGTAGGGTCAGGCCGCAGGCGCGGGGGAGTCACGTTTTAGAGCTTTTCAGGGCTGAAAACCTCTAGAATGTGACTCCCGCGCGTTTTTGGGGTAGGGTCGGGCCGCAGGCGCGGGGGGGTCAGACCCGGGGGGTGTTGCGGGCAGGATTTTTTTAGAAACTGACCCCAAAACACTAGGGTACCCTAAGTTTCTTAGCTAGAAGGCAACCGCAAATCGACCAATATTCGCGGGTCTAGGGGCTCAGTTTCTTAAACAGTGGTTTCTTATGCAGTGGTTTTACTGTATTCTGTTTATATAAACCCAAGAGGGTATTAAACATATTTTTTAAGGTTCTAAGGGGAGTGTAGAAAACCCGAGCCCTCGTCAGGTCAACCAAGTTGCCTTTGAAGCGAAGCTTCTTGGACTCAACCTTGACTTTCGCGCTCGATGCATTTTAGGAGTTGGCCTTGCTCTACATAGACCCTATATCCAGAGAACCCTAAACCCCAAACCCTACAGGCTTTACATACGGCTTTGGAGCTTACGGATAGGGCTTGCGGGCTCGAGGGTCCAGGATTTGGGGCTTAGGGCTAGGGGGTTCTTCAAAATTCAGATGCCCTAAGCCCCAAATCCTAGACCCTAAACCCTAAACCCTCAAGCCTAAACCCTAAACCCTAAACCCTAAACCCCTATCAGGAACCCTTACATGCCTTTGGGGGAGTCCCTTGCGCATGTGGGCTCTCAAGGGCCTAAACCCTAAAGCCCTGTGAGCCAAAGCTTCGGCTTTGCTGGGCAGCTCGACCATGCCGCTTGAGTTTAGGGTTTAGGGTTTAGGGTTTAGGGTTTAGGGTTTAGGGTTAAGGGTTTAGGGTTAGGGTTTAGGGTTTAGGGTTTAGGGTTCAGGGCGTAAGGATTAGAAAGGAACCTTTGTCAGGCACAAGCATATCTTGGTGGCCCAGTGGTGCCCCTACTAACCCTTTTGTTGGCTCAAGGTTCCCTTAAAAATGTAACCAAACCCAAAAAGGGTGCTCTTGTTAAAGTATGGTTACTGGGCTACAAAGATATGGTGCATAGGCACATGGAATCTTGGGGTGGGCTAATGGTTTTTGTGTTTAGGGTTTAGGGTTTAGGGCAAGGTTTTTATAGCCCCCTTCCACACAAGAAGTCATCATGGACCCTTGTTAACAGCCCTCCCACTCCCCAGACCCCTGGGAGGATCCGAAACAGTAGATTCCCTTCAGGGTTTCTAGGAATGACCCACTATAGCAGTATGGGGTACTATTTGGGGGCTCTACTTTTTGGATTCTCCCAGGGGTCTGGGTCCTGTCAAAAATCTAACTACCTTGAGTATATATATATATCTTATACTAACTGAGGGCCCATACATCAGAACCCTTTAATGGAGGTCAGGGACCATATTAAGGGCCCATGAAACTACCCTTGGAGAGAAAACTGAAGCATCAACCACCCTTTTTGGGGGTCTCTTTCTTCTATTCTATATAATTTCAGGAATAAAGGGGGATCACCCTAACCCTAAAACCTAAACCCTAAACCCTAACCCCAAAAAACAACCCAGGACCATGAAGCTGGAGGCATCCGTCCAGCGCATGCGAGGCGATGTGGAGCAGTTGAGTGCTGTTCCCTGGCCCTCCCAAGTGGGGGTTTAGGGTTCAGGGTTTAGGACCCCCCCCCCCCCCCCCAAATAGTAGGATTCCCTTCGAAAAAGGACCCCTAATTTCGGAAGCCTCCAGGTGTGAAGCTTTCCTGCCCAAGTTTGAGGTAGAACTCAGGATGGGAGGGACTTAGCGCTTGCTGCGGGAAGACTTACATGTCGCTGCATACGGAACCCTAAACCCTAAACCTTTTCGGATCCTCCCAGCGGTCACTCAGGAACTTCAAGAGGCCGAGGGCCGCTTGATCCACGCGGAGGGCGCGGCGCGCCGTGCGGAGGCCGTCCGCCTGGGCGATGCCGGCAGGCCGGGGTTTAGGGTTTGGGGTTTAGGGTTTAGGGTTTAGGGTTTAGGGTTTAGGGTTTAGGGTTTAGGGTTTAGGGTTTAGGGTTTAGGGCTTAGGGTTTAGGGTTTAGGGTTTAGGGTTTAGGGTTTAGGGTTCAGGGTTCAGGGTTTAGGGTTTAGGGTTTAGGGTTTAGGGTTTAGGGTTCAGGTTTAGGGCTTAGGGGCTTAGGGTCTAGGGTTTAGGGTTGAGGGCGTAGTAAGGATAAGAGGGCTAATAGGGTTGATGTAGGCTTTGATGGTTTAGGGCGTTGAGGTTTAGGGGGTTTAGGGCTATATACTTTACAGGCACATGAACCGTTAGGGGAACCATCCATGAACCTTCATGTAGGGTGGAGTCCGGGTTTACAGGTTTTGGGGTTCGGCTGCTATGGGGGTTGAAAAGAGCATAGGGGATTTAATTGGCAGGTTCGGGATTCAGGAATTTGAGCAACCCCCTGAACCCGAATTAAACCCGAAGCCACATGTACGTCAACTACGTGTTTCACATTCCGAAAGGGATGCGCGTAGCTGCCTGAAGTGAAGACGAGAGGTGGTGAGTCTTCACTGCCTGCATGCTCCCCACTGCTCCCTAAGGCCCTAAGCTTCCCTAAGGTTTTCGAGGTACTGACCCCCCATGAACCCTCCCCTCCAGTAAAAACCCTACTTGGAGGGTCATGGTACTTCTTCACCAATTATATCTGGATTTCTAACCCACTTATAAGCCCCCGCAAGTGGCCCAATATGGTACAGCTATAACTACAGTTATAACTGGTCAATAAGTACCATGAACCTCCAAGCATAATCCAAGCCTTCCGAAGGCCGTGGGACTCTGACATGAAAGCCGGAAGCCCGAAAGCCCATAAACCCAAGGTAAACCCCCCAAGACTGGAAAGGGTTTAGGGTTTAGGGTTTAAGGTTTAGGGTTTAGGGTTTAGGGTTTGCTTCCCGAAACCTTGAACCCTAAACCCGAAACCCGACAGGTCTGAAGCGCTCCTCTCCGAAAACTCGTGCTTGCCTCAGCTCCGCTGTGGGAGGCGAGAAGGCACCAGGATGGTTTCTCTCTACATTAGAGTCCCTTTTTTACGAGTTGCGCAAGAACACCCCCCCCCCCCCCCCCCCCCCCCGAAGAATTATATTCTTCCTTATAAGGGGTCATATAGTGATTATGTTTATGTTCTATGCTTTGAGGGGTTCTTAAGCAAGAAATGGTTTTTGCTTGGCGGCCCAGCGGTACCCTTTTTTTCACTTCTTTTGCTTCAAGGTTCCCTTATGCAACCAACCCAAAAAGGGTGCCCCTGCTGTAATATGGTTCCTGGGCTACCAAGTTTGGCGTCCTTCTTTTGAGGGTGCCGTATCATATAGGAGACAAAAAATGGGACCCTGATTTAAAGACAGAGGTTCTGGGGTTTAAGGGGGTTTAGGTTTTAGTCTCTGGCATGGATGTTTCGGGCTTAGGACTCAGGGATTTCCAGCTTGAGCAGAATGTATTGAGTCGAAGCAATGGCTGGCTCAATCTGTACGGACATCTTTTACAAACACGTTCAATCTACGTCATTCTGGGTGTTGAAGATGCATGTCCCAGAGACTCCAAAACCCCTTAATTAAGGAATATACCTTAACTTATAATGGGAACCCTAGTATGATTTAAGGTATATTCCTTAATTAAGGGGTTTTGGGGTCTCTGGGGTGCGTAGTTCTCTAATTTCGAGTCGCTTGTGGGGCTCCTTCTTTGAAGGGTGCTTTATGTAGGACCCAAAAAGGGACCAAAATCCAGAGAACTACACCCTAAACCCTAAACCCTAAACCCTAAACCCTGAACCCTAAACCCTAAACCCCCAAAAAGGGGCCCTAATCCCGAGGACTACCCATGTACGGACCCCCACCACTCCATAGGAACTTGGTCTGAGGAAACTTCGAGAGGAGGTGAAGCAGCTCGAAGCACACTGTCGAGGCACATGGTTTAGGGTTTAGGGTTTAGGGTTTATGATTGGAGGAATTGTGAACTTCGAGATTCCCCATGAGGTCTTGGCTTCACCCCTCACAGTCCCCATATATTTCGATCCAACCTAAGGATCTTATACTGCTTCGCTCAACAGCACTCTACTACGATGTCGATGAAGGGGGAGCCATGCATTTCCTTTTTAGGGTTTCGGTTCCCTTGTAGACCCCTCTAAACCCAAAAAAGGGCACCCTGTTCATTCCTAGGTTATTCTTGGATACTCTTGGGTCGAGCTGCAAGCCTATTGTAACTATGCGTGATCCTCAAAGTAGAGCTTGCGGCTCCTATCAGCACAGAATCGGCGATAGCGGCCGATACCCGGTTGTAAAATTCCCGAAGCGCGAGACCTTTCGAACCCTGAACCCCAAACCCGAACCCCCCAAACCCCCCCCAAACTCCCCTAAACCCTAAACCCTAAACTTTTAATACTGTACATCCTCAAGCCCTCCAGCCCCGGGCCCGGAAACCCTTAAGCCTTAAGCCCCCAAAAGGCAGAACCCGAAACCCCTAAGTCCCCAAAAGCCCCGAAGCTCCTGAACCCCCGAACCTCTAAACCCGCCAAACCTCCCTGAAGCGGAAAACCGCTAACCCCCCTTTAACCCCCCCAAACCCCTAGACCCGAAACCCTTAAACCCCCCTTAAACCCGCCCCAAACCCCTAAACCCGAAACCCCCAAACTCCGCCAAATCCCTAAACCCCCAAACCTCGCCAAATCCCTAAACCCGAATCCCCCAAAACCCCCCAAAAAATCCCCAACCTCCCCCAAAGAATCCCTATTACCCTGTATTACCCCTTACTACCCCCTATTACCCCCTAGTACCTACTACCCTAAACCCTAAACCCGATACCCTAAACCCCAAAATCCCAAAATCCCGAACCGGGGCTCCAGGACAGTCTGAAGCAGCCTCCGAGCAGCTCCGCAGTGCTTTGGGCCTTGAGTCGCTCAGCCGTCTTGGATTTAGGGTTTAGGGTTTAGGGCTTCGGTTTTAGGGGGTTTAGGGTTTAGGGCTTCGGGTTTAGGGTTTAGGGCAGAAGCTGATGTCGGTGCTCGGTCATTTATTCGGTGCAAGACCTCAAGTCTAAATCCTCAGCCCCCACCCCCCCACCCCCCCCAACAAAAAATCTAAACAAATGCGAACTAAGCTGGAGCCTTGAAATGAAATCAACTGGTTTGCGGTTTAGAGGGTTGAGGGTTTGGGGTTTAGGGTTTCGCTTTAGTTTGCTTCCCGTTTACGCTTGCAGGGTAGGGTCTCGAGAGCCTCGGGGGTTTAAATGTATTGGGCCCTGCTGGAGATTCAGGATGCCGAGCTTCAGGGTTTAGGGTTCAGGGTTTAGGGTTTTGGGTTTTGGGTTTGGGGTTTTAGGGTTTAAGGTTTACTGGCTCCACCTTGATGAGTTTGATTCATTCAGGGTTACTTTTTTTGTGAGAGGAGTGTGGGACCGTAAAGTCTAAGCCCTTTACCTCCTAAACCCCCTGCCCCTGGACGTCCAGGGAGGTACCCTGTGGGATACAGCATAGGTTTAGGGGTAAACCCTGGTTTAGGGTTTAGGCTCTTAAACCCTAAGCCCTAAACCCAAAGCCCTCAACCCTAGGCCCTAAGCCCCATGGAGAGCCTTGGGTCCGATGCCCGCCGGTCGAAGCGCCGAGCAGCCGCGTTTTACGCGGCCCTTGACGAATGCAAGCGCCGTCTCTCAGCTCAATGTTGACCACCTCTCCTGACCAACTTGCTTGAAGTGTACCATTCTTGCTTGGTCCGAGGCAACGCGGGCTTCTTGACTATTCATAGATGCTACACTGAGACATTCGAAGCCTCTCTACCGCTCCCTCCAGCAGCTCTCATTCTTAGACCCTACACTCCCTCCCAACTATGCAGCGGCTCTTGTGCCTCGCCCCCCCCCCCCCCCCCGCCCCAAACCCCCAAACCGCAAACCCTAAACCCTAAACCCTAAGCCCTAAGCCCTGAACCCTAAAGCCTAAACGCCCCCCAATCCCATATCATACATACCAATGGACAAAGTCACTTATCCTCGTGATTTCCCAGCAATACGCCCTAAAGGCAAACCGATCAGTGAAGTTGTACAGGGTTTGCATAAACCCCTAAACCCTAAAACCCAAAATCACTTAAAACCCTAAGGCCTAAACCCTGAACCCCCCTATAGCCCTAAAGCCCCAAAAATCCTAAAGCCGCAGAGTGCACGGGGCGGGCCAGTTCCACCCCTAAAACCCCAAACCCTAAACCCTAAACCTAAATCTTAAGCCCCAAGCCCTAAGCCCTAAACCCTAAACCCTAAACACTCAATCCTAAACCCTAAACCCTAAACCCTAAACCCTAAACCCTAAACCCTAAACCCTAAACCCTAAACCCTAAACCCTAAACCCTAAACCCTAAACCCTACCTCCCAAAACAGCCCTTAATGTCCCTTGGCCTAACCGAAAGCCTCGCCCAGGAAGCGGCTCATGTCCGTTCGGCAAAAGCACGTGCGGCTGCAGGTCTGTGCGAGGGGGGGGGGGGGGGGGTTGGGGGGTTTAGGGTTTAGGTTTAGGGTTTAGGGTTTAGGGCTTAGGGTTTAGGATTTTGGATTTAGGGTTTAGGGGGATTCTGTGTCGGAGTCTGACTTGGGTTCAACTAAGTCTGCAACAAACACATAGGTGTTTTGTCGGTAGAATAAATACACAAAGTATCAATTCGATTTGAATATGGGTCCTTAATATAAGGGGATCCTACTATTGGGGGTCGATCTATAAGAGGTCCCCTATTTTCGTAAACCCCATGTCACCAGCGCTGTGGGGGAGGAGGGAATGGTGGTCATGGTACTTGTAGGCTCCTGGGTACTTATGAACAGGCACAGGAAACTACGTCTTCTTTAGCCTGACCTTAGGGGTTTTAAAAACAGCACAGGAGACTAACTCTTGGTTAACCTGCTTTTGGGGCTTCTAAAAAGCCCAAACCCTAAACCCAAACCCTAAAGCCTGAACCCTGAACTCTGAACCCTAACCTTCAACCCACATGAAGTTCGAGCTCATCTTCAAGGCCCTGGAATCCCAATCAAGAAGTCAACTCTTACGTCGCCTCCTCGAAGTCCTGATGCCTTTCAACAAAACTAGGGTTTAGGGTTTAGGGTTTCGGGTTTAGGGTTTAGGGTTCCCCTGCTGCCATAGTTGTACCCTACTAGAGTTTAGAGGTGTAGTTCTGTTTTTTAATTTTAAGGGGTGTTGGTCTCTCTGGCCCCCTATAAAACCTAAGCCCTAAACCCTTGACCCTCAACTTTTTCCTTTGTGTTTCTGATGGGAACCGGAAGCCTCCTTTCCAGGACGCCTACCGGGAGCAGGGCAGGACCCGGCCGAAGGGTGTCGAAGAGGATAGCTTCTGGCCGGCAGGGTTTAGGGTTTAGGGTTTAGGGTTTAGGGTTTAGGGTTTAGGGTTTAGGGTTTAGGGTTTAGGGTTTAGGGTTTAGGGTTTAGGGTTTAGGTTAGGGTTTAGGGTTTAGGGTTTAGGGTTTAGGGTTTAGGGTTTAGGGTTTAGGGTTTAGGGTTTAGGGTTTAGGGTTTAGGGTTTAGGGTTTAGGGTTTAGGGTTTAGGGTTTAGGGTTTAGGGTTTAGGGGGCACTTTTTTGGAAGTGTCAGCTGTGGGTTGGGATGTTCCCCCCTATACTAACAGTCCTTTGTAGGGATTATAGTACCCCTATCATAATCCCTTTTAAGGATTGTGAGTAAAAGGGGGGAACATCCCAAGTTGTGGGGGTGTAGGGTTTCCTAAAGAACTCAGAAACCTACCTTTTTGTTAGGCTCCTTCAGAATCGCAACAAGGGTCGTATAAGAGCCCACAAGTATGTAGATGTTGGGGTCTTTTTGGGGGGGGCTTTTGGAGAGTTCAGGGCATGGGATTCCATGAAGTGTCATGGAGCTAAAAGGATGCCACTGGCTTACCGTAAACTCCAGGGTTTAGGGTTCAGGGTTTAGGGTTTAGGGTTTAGGGTTTAGGGTCCTTATCCCCATGGCCCAAAAGGTATACTAAAGGACATCCCCGCTCTACTCATCCTCAAGCCATGTTCCAACTTCCTGAGGTTCACTGTATGGTTCAGTATGTTTCCCCTCATGTTCTAAGAAATCTTCAACGTGCCCCTTGGGCAGACCCTTAAAAGGAAACTAAGGGGGGTAAAATCCTTCCTTATTTTCTCTCCTTTTATAGGTCAAGGGGTATGGGTTTAGGGTATTTTGAGTTTTACTTAAAAGAAGTTCGGAAAGCTCCATCTCATGACCCTCAACCCCAAACCTCATACAGGTTACGCTGGCTATGGGGAACCCTTAACCTTGAGCCCTAAACCCTATACCGATACCAGGTTCCGTGAGCTAGGTAGCCCTGAACCTTAAACACCCCTATTCCCAAACTCCATATCAGCTTACACTAGGTAGGTTGGTCGGGTTGAATAGCAGTAGCTGGGGTCTCATGGCTTCGGGTGTCTCGAAGCCTGCTAAACCCTAAACCCTAAACCCCCTAACAGGGGTAGCTTTGAACATCACTTGTAGTTTCCATTGCCCCTAATTCCCCATGTAATCCTTATTTATAGAGCCATAAACAATGAATGTTTATAGGGCAACCCTAAACCCTAAACCCTAAACCCTAAGGCCCCCAAGCCTACCCCAGCTGAGGCATCGCCGCTATCCAGATGGCCACCGATGAGCTGAAGGAGGCACTGTGGCGGGCGAAGGGGGGGTGTCCTCCAAGTTCAAGTCCCCTACTTGTCGTCCAAGGCTTCAACTATTATTACGACTATTATTCTTATTATGAGTATCATCATCATCATCATCATCATCATCATCATTTTCACCATCATCACCACCACCACCATCATCATCATCATCATCATCATCACCAGGACCGTGTTTAACAGCAAGAATAGCAAACCACAACCATAGTCATAATCACAGTACTAAAGAGGCACTGTGAATGTGCTCCAAAGGTTTCTTCCCAACCGTCGGTGTTGGGTTAGTAGGTTCTGATTCAACCATTCTCCTCCTCCTCTCGCCTCCCGCCCGGCTCGCCTGGTTTGGTGGAATACCCACCCACAGAGAACTGCGGATTGCTTAAGAACCCCCCCCCCCCCCCCCAAAAAAAAAAAACTTCCTTGGAAGGGTAGTATAGGGATTATCTTTTTTCTATATGTTCGAGCAAACTAGTAGACAAGGTCACAGAGTCTCAGCGAGTCTCCTGTAGCGCGCACCGAGCATCCCCTAAAGAGTTCCGCCTGTTATCCCTTGGAGTGACCACCCCCTGGAGAGTCCCGCTGCGGTTTCGGGTTTGGGGTTTAGTAGTTTCCAAAAAGGAACTACATAGGAGCTTTTGGGTAGGGGAGGGTTACCCTAAACCCTAAACCCTAAACCCTAAACCCTAAACCCTAAACCCTAAACCCTAAGTGCATCCTTGAAGTGCCCGCCTCCCAGAGAATCCCACAAGAGTCCCACAGATAAGCTGGACTGCCAACCTACAGAGGGGCATTACCTGGAACCCTAAACCCTAAACCCTAAACCCTAAAGCCTAAACCCTAAACCCTAAACCCTAAACCCTAAATGAATCTATATACATGTTGCATTGTCATATAGTCATGGATATACATATCTTTTCACATATAGTGTAAAAATAATTAGTTAGGACACCCAATAAGGGAGCTCAAAGTCGAGGGTTTGGTAGTTTGGGTGCTGTTGCTTCAGGCTTTTCGTGGGTTGAAAGCGAGAGCAAGCGATGTCTTGGCTATACCTTTAACCTTAAATCCTAAACCCTAAACCCTAAATCCTAAACCCTAAACCCCAAACCCTAGGGTCTTTGTCCATTGTAAGTCGGTCCATCTGGGCCAGGAGTTGAGTCAGCTTCGCGAAGAGGCCGCTCATGAGCGTGCCAACAGAGACCATCCCTCAGTTGGCGACTCCTTCCCAGTCTCACCGTCTCGGCCCTTATTCCTTTTTTAGGGTTTAGGGTTTAGGGTTTAGGGTTTAGGGTTTAGGGTTTAGGGTTTAGGGTTTAGGGTTTAGGGTTTAGGGTTTAGGGTTTAGGGTTACATAAGAGCCTGGGGCTAGGACCCCAGAGTATAGAGCCTTATTCCCTTTTTCTAGGGCTTGGGTTCCCTTAGGAAGCCCGTTTAAACCAAAAAGGATGCCCTTGTTTTTTCTCCTAGGTTACTCTTGGGTCTAGTGTAGAATATGAGGATTATGAAGGAATGAAGCACTCATCTCAAGGGCATGCTATGCACCTCGGCCACAAGTCGGAGACTTCAGAACCCCCAAGTGGCTTAGGCTTCTAGGATGCTCCCTCTGTCGTACTTCAGCCTTGTTTTCGAACTCAAGTCGAGTCATTCATCCTTCAACCACGCGCCACACCCAATCCCCTAACCCTAAAGCCTAAACCCTAAACCCTAAACCCTAAACCCTAAACGGGGAGCTTGCCGGCCTCCTAAGGAGCACGCCGACGAGCTGCAGGAGAACGTGGAGTGAATGCCTCGGTGGTGCTCGGGGTTGGGGTTCTGGTTTAGGGTTTAGGGTTTAGGGTTTAGGGTTTAGGGTTTAGGGTTTGGGTTTAGGGTTTAGGGTTTAGAGTTTAGGGTTTAGGGTTTAGGGCCACTAGGGCCACTAGGGCCTCAGGCCGGTTCACGATGCCCCGTTTTTGGCCTCCAAAAAGAAGTTGCATGGTACCGTCCTACCTGTACATGCAAGCCGTATACTTCCTTTAGTCCAAAGCCTCGAATCCTGCCGTATACTTCCCGAGTCCTGAAGCCATCCTGGTAAGCTCTGTTTCAACTTGTACCTTGGCAAAACTTATCCTGAATGTATGGATAGTTGCCTTCATTGTGAGCGTGCTTTGGGCTTTTTACGAGATTAGCGGTACCTTATCGGGGTCCTAATTATAAGGGGAACCTCCTATTTGGGGGGTTTATATTAGGGCCCTTCACTATCGTAAACCCCCCTTCTCGGTTACGCTAGCCCTAAACCCTAAACCCTAAACCCTAAACCCTGAACCCTAAACCCTAAACCCTAAACCCTAAACCCTAAACCGCTTCTCTGCATCCTGTGCTCGAGGCTGGCCGTCAAGCGCCTGCACTCTGAGGAACTCCAAGGCGCCGCGGGGGGGGCCAGAGAGAGCGAAGGTAGGCGTCTGCTGGTGTTAGAAGTGGTTTAGGGTTTAGAGTTTAGGGTTTAGGGTTTGGGGTTTAGGGTTTAGGGTTAGGGTTTAGGGTTTGGGGTTTGGGGTTTGGGGTTTAGGGTTAGTGGTTGTGTGTGTGGGCGACTGAGTGCAATGTGCCTGTGTGGCACAGAGGACAAGCATCTCGTCGACAAACGATGCTAGCAACGTTCTGAATGCAAGAACCCTGAAACCTAAATCCTCACCCCATCCCCCCCCCTGTAAAAGACACAAGAAGCACATGAACTAACAAACTAACAAATTAGCAAAAACGTACTCCCCTAATTAAACGAGCCTACCCAGTCAAGCCAGACCCCCAAGCCCCAAAGTGAGAAGTGGCGGAATCATTCGGCTCCGTTCAGAAGAGTACACAAAATAAGGAGCCGATCAACTTGCATCTAGGTAACCCCCCCCCCCCCACCAAGACAAAGAGAAAGCAAAAGAGCGAGACAGAGAGAGTTCACATCCCTCAAGGCAGTCTTGTGCACGAGCAGTCCGTCTCCCGCTTGAAGATCGGAAGTGCATCAAGCCCCTTAAAAATTGGTATCTAGCCCTAAACCCTAAACCCTAAACCCTAAACCCTAAACCCTAAACCCTAAACCCTAAACCCTAAACCCTGCTTGGAATGCTTCTGGCCAGACGCCTTGCTGTAAGCCCTATAGGCCCCAAGCCCCACGCAACCATGGCCTTGGGCAGCAGAAGCTTGCCAATCCAGGCTTTCAGTCGGAGCAGCACGCTGGCAGCTCAGACTCTGTGTCGCCGTGTCGCTGAGTCCCTAAACCCTAAACCCTAAACCCTAAACCCTAAACCCTAAACCCTAAACCCTAAACCCTAAACCCTAAACCCTAAACCCTAAACCCTAAACCCTAAACCATCACCACCCCCTTAACCTAAAACACCGCGGGGGTGGTCACCTGTCTACGAGAGGCCGCGGTGTTTTTCAGAGGGTTGGGCCCATGCCAGGGCCAGGAGATATAGGAAAAGCACCATGGGGGGGTGAACTCAGGATATCACCCCCGCGGTGTTTTTATTCTATAAGGCTTATCGAGATCCAGTGATCTTCAGGAGTTTCTTCTCAAGGCTTGACCCCCCTTACGTGGAGTGCCTACCCACAGACCTTGAGAATCCCTGAGGGCCCCCCAGAGAATCGGGATTCTCTGCGGGCGTTTACGCCGCATAAACGCCTCTCTCGTGAGCACTCCAAAATTGCTTGCGGGATTCTCGGCAGGATTCTCTGAGACTCCAGGGATACCCTGCGGAATTCTCTGCAAGATTTTTTGGGGTGGTCACTCTTGTGAGATTTGTTGTAGGACTCTCTGTGCGGGCGGGATTCTCTGCCTGATTTTTTTGGGTGAGGGCACTCCAGGCATACTTTGCAGGATTCGGCGGGCATTCCACTAAAATTCTTGGGAAGGCACTCCAGGGATAACTGGTGAACCCTGAACGCAGGAGACATGTAAGATGCGCGCGGGCCGTGAGAGCCTCAAGTGCCCAGAGGCAGTGCTAACCCCCTTGGTACCCCCCTTGCCATGGTAGAAACCTAAGTCCTAAACCCTAAAAGCCCTAAATCCTAAACCCTAAACGCTAAATCCTAAACCCCTTTTCCTATAAACCCGAAGACTGAATCCTAAGCCCGAAGCACTCCAACTAAATAGGCCCCGACATTCGATGATCGTTGCCTCAGGCACTCCGCGTGCAGCTGCAGGACTGGCGAACAGAAATCGGTGGCCCCCCCAAAAAATGAATGTTTACGATATTAGGGGGCTGCCTTGTTGCGGTCCTGTATAATAAGGGAATCCTAGTATTTGGTGGGGTCCCTTATTTTCGCAAACCCCAAAAAATCCTCAAGGTGAAAGGATTTAGGGGTTAGGGGTTCAAAGTTTTTGGGTTTAGGGGCTCAATGGGTTTTTGAGTTTAATGTGTTTGCGGCTTACAGGTTTGGTTGGGGTTTTTAGGGTTTTCGGGTTTAGGGGTTTAGAGGGGTAGCTTAAACCCCTAACCCTTAAATGCGTTACCCTAAACCCTAAACGTAAACCCCAGACCCAACACAGCTTAGAACACTTGACAGGAGCAGCGGCGACATTCCACCGAGGCGCTGGAGGCCCAACGCTGGGCAGTTCGCAAGGCCGCGGTCAAGGGTTGGGTTTAGGGTTTGGGGTTTGGGGTTTGGGGTTTGCGGTTTGGGGTTTGGGGTTCAGGGTTTAGGGTTTAGGGTTTAGGGTTTGGGGTTTGGGGTTTAGGGTACAGGGTTTAGGGTATGCAGGGCTTACAGTGTTTACAGGTTTCGCAGGGTTTACAGTGCTCAGGGGCTCAGCGTTTCCTAGCCTTTAATTTGAGAGGGGTGCAGGCTTTAACACAACCCTTCTAAGCCTCGAGGGGATCCAAAAGGGTAGCACATTCCCGATTTCTGTTTTAAGGGTACTTACATGGTCCCTTAATATGGTCCCTTGCCTTCTTCAAAGGGTTCGGAATTATGGGTGCTTGGGCTGTATAGGGTAGAAGGCTAATAGAAGGCGTACATAAGCGGCCCCATTGCAGGCTCCATAATAGGGGACCATGTAGCAACCCTAAGATCCGTGCTAGGGGATTTAGGACGTGACCGATTTCCTCCAAATACCTACCCGGAAACTAAGGGGCTGTGCCTAGCTGTGTAGCGCGGCCCATTTTCATACCCGTAGTCTCCGGCACTTTGACCCTTTGAATCTGTAGAGATAGGAGGACGGAGGGCTGGAGGGTCGGAGAAAGCCCTGGCTGCAACTGTTCAGCAGGGTGCCATTGTCCTCTGCCCTAATCAAATCTCTCCAAGCCGTAAACTCTGGATTGTTGTTGACTCTTAACCTTAGTACTGGGCAGACTGATGTGGTCAATACTCGAGGTTTTCAGGTATGTCGGCCCGCGAAGGAGTCTTGCCGGATGGTTTCAGGTTTCGAAAGAAACCCAAAACTCCCCAACCTCAATCGCGTTTAGGGTTTAAGATTTAAGGTTTAGGGTTTAGGGCTCTTGACCCATGGACCAGGAGAAGCAGCTACGCAAGCAGCGCTACGTGGCCCAGCTGCTTCAAAAGCCCCAGTTGAGACCCCAACATCCCCAAAGCCCTACGGGTTTTGGATCTTCATTCATGGTTGGGAACCATGTACCCATAGTTCTTTTAGTAGGACTGGTAGTATATTTATTGCCCAACGGAATACATCAGAGTTTTCATCTAGGGTTGAGGGTTTAGGGTTTAGGAGTTTAGGGTACAACCTTATTAGAATAGCTTAACTCATTTTCCTCAACAACCGTTAGCCTTAAACCCTGAGACTCAAACCCGAATAGAATTTAGAAGTTCCTACTCCCTAAATGCTCAACCCGAAACCTTATGGGTTCCGCCCCTCCTAGGTTCCCCCCTTGAATAACCTTAATTAAGCTTAACTATCCCCTAAATAGCCTTAATTATCGGGGGGGGGGGAAGCTAGGGGGGTAGCATAGAGCAGGGTAGTAGGAAAAAAACCCTGAGCCTCCGAATGCTCGCAGCCTCGAAAGCACTCAGCTGAGTCCGGTTCTTAGGCCTTGCTGCTCGCTGCCTCCGAGGCCGTGTAGCGTTTATAAGTTTCAGGGTGTAGGGTAGAGGGTTTCTAAGGTTTAGGGCTTAGGGTTGGGGGTTTAAGAGTTTAGGGTTTGGGGTTTAGGTTTTTTTTCGTGAGGTTATGGGTCTACATAAGATTGTTTTGTGCGGTTTGAGGTTGAACAGGCTTGGAGGGAATTGGGCTGGCGCGGTTTAGGTTTGCGAGGCTTTGAGTTGGGATGTTGCCCCTTAAAACTAACAATCCTTAATAAGGATTATAGTAAGGGGTGCTGTGATCCCTTATGAAGGACTGTTAGTATAACGGGCAACATGCCAAGTTGTCAGGTTAGAGGGTTTTAAGGTACAGGAGTCGGCGGTCTTGTCCATTTTTGACCGGGTGGAAGGGTTCTTCTAACCTTGAAAACCGATTTCAGATTCAAATGGGGATCAGAGACCCGTTGCTACATTAATCCTACTAAGGTATGGTTGGTGGTTGATTTGTTTAAGGTTGGAACCACGGGCGCTTAGTGTGGTCCCTCTTGTTTAAAGGGGTTTAAAGAGATCCGAAGTCCGAAGTTCGGGCCCTTAGTTTTTATTATGATTATTAGTACTACTCTTATCTTTATTACTATAATAATGATTATTACTATTGTTTTTTATTTCCATGTATAGTGTATATAAGAATTATATAACAGGGAACCCAAATTAAGGGCCCATACGTCGGATCCCCTAACGTTGGTCCGAAAGGAAGGAAGGAACCCCCCAGAGACTCCAAAACCTTAATTAAGGAATGTACCTTAAATCATACTAGGGTTCCAATTATAATTTAAGGTATTTTCCTTAATTAAGGAATATACCTTAAATCATACTAGGGTTCCTATGATAATTTAAGGTATATTCCTGAAATAAGGAATATACCTTAAATCATACTAGGGTCCCTATTATAATTTAAGGTATATTCCTTAATTGAAGGGTTTTGGAGTCTCTGGGCCCCTCTCAACCTCCAAGCTGCAGACGGAAGTGCTTTTGCCAGGAGCTGCGCTTCGCACTGCAACGCCTCCGGTGCGCCACGGAGGCCCACTGAGCAGTTGGGTTTAGGGTTGAGGGTTGAGGGTTTAGGGTTTAGGGTTTAGGGTTTAAGGGGAGACGATCTGCATTATCCGTGTATCAGTATCATCGGACAGTCATAGCATGCCAAAGCTCATCTACTTCTTTCTGCGGCTTCCCCCCCCCCTTTTTGGCGCCCCTTTCATAATGGCATGCTGCTTTGACAAGCCCGGCCCCGCACTGCGAGCCTACTGTAAAACTATCCTCCCAGGGTCCATGTACCTGCATAACATTTATCACACTTTAGAGAACTGTCCATATATACCCTAAATAAGCCAAACCTCTAAACCCTCATGTATGTATATATATATATGTATATATATATATATATTTATTTATTTATCTTTATCTATACATACATACATACATACATACATACATACATACATAAATATTCATATATACATTATATGTCTATCTATACTATATATATATATAGATCTGGTTTGTTCTTCCTCTGTCTGTGGGGGCTCTTACTACTATTTGCCAAAGAACCCTAAAATCAAGATAGTAATCCCCATGTCACCCTTAAACAGCAAGAATATATCTTACATGTTTTGGGGTGGTTCCTAGGCAAACAGTAGCTTCGGGATCCCCTGCCCTAAGGACCCATGTACCTATATAGTACATACTGGTGCCCTACAGGTACTACCCCTTGAATGTCCAAGCATATACTATATAGGTGCGCGGATCCAAACCCAAACCCCACACCCCAAACCCTAAACCCTAAACCCTAAACCCTAAACTTGGATCTTCAGGGCTACGGGATACCCTGAAGTGACCTCATCTTGAGGATGCGGCCTTGGCGGACGAGACCACCGAAGATCATGACCGCAGGGCCGCTTCCCCCCTGGGTTTAGGGTTTAGGGTTTAATGTTGGACTCGCTTTAGTGCGTAGGGGTCCCCCCCCCCCCCCCCCCCCCCCCCCCCAATTTTGGGGTTTTCGGGGATCCTTAATAATCTGGGACGGGGCTGGGACGGGGGCTGGGGGTAGGGCGGCTAGGGGTCGAGGGTTGAGGGGAAGCCTTGAAGCTTGAGGGTCTAAGCTTTCCAGGCTTTGTAGCTCCACGGTCGCCGGGGCTCCGCATTAATGCGGACCACCGAAACAACTTGCTAAAGCGAATCAGGGCAGCTCGTGGGCTACTCCCTTGGAAAATTGTTTGGGGGCCTGTTTCGTAATGAAATTTTACAAGGAATTTAAATAAGGCTGGACACCAAAAAATCCGGAGTTTCTTATTCAAAACTTGTTTTTAGTTTTTGGCTCCCCGGCCCCCCGCCCTTCAACCCCAGCTGGGACAACATCGCATAATTGTGACCCCCCCTAAACAATGGGGGGTCCTGTATAGGCCGAGCGGAAAATCGCATAATAGTGGTCCCATCTACTAAAACCAGTCCAACATTAGGGTTAGGGTTTAGGGTTTAGGGTTTAGGGTTTAGGGTTTAGGGTTTAGGGTTTAGGGTTTAGGGTGTAGGGTGTAGGGTGTAGGGTGTAGGGTGCCAAGAGTAACCTACATACCCCCAGACATATGCTCTCAGAGCTGGGAAAACAGTACCTTAAGACTTGTTGTGCATGTTTCTCCCTTTGCTAGCGGTTCTCAAGGGCATACAGGCTACTCTAGCTAGGGCTCCGGCTTGCAGGAGCACGGGAGGAACAGGCGGTTCAATTCCACGGGCCCTGGCCCACACTGTAGGGTTTAGGGTTTAGAGAATGTAGGGTTTTGCGGATGAGGGTTGAAATTTAGGGTCCAGACGCTTCGTCTTGGCTACGGGCACTGCCTCACCCGAGTCCTCTTCCCAAAGGCGGATGACATGCGCTGAGTTGCATCTATTATCTACTTGGAGGTTCATGGGTAGCTATAAGTAAGGTTATAAGTACCCTGAATGGGGTTAGAAGCATAGGTTCCATAATAATCATCCTACTTAAAACTACCCATGCACCTCCAAGTACCCTGGAATTGTTCAACCTTCAAGGCTATACCCTGTGTTCCACCTAAACTCCACCGGAACAAGCTCTTAGCCCTACGTCCTGAGCCCCACAGCGGGAGTCTTGAAACTCTACTGCATGCTGCCCTCAGTTCCCCCAAAACCCTAAACCCGAAACCCGAAACCCTAAACCCTAAACCCTAAACCCGAACCCTAAACCCTAAACCCTAAACCCTAAACCCTAAACCCTAAACCCTAAACCCTAAACCCTAAACCCTAAACCCTAAACCCTAGAAGCCCTAAACCCTCAACAAAGTGGCGGCTTGGCGGCTATTGCCAGGTCACAGAAGAGCTGGATGAAGTGAAGCTCAACCAGCAGGCCGTCATATGGGGGTTTCCGAAAATATGGGTACCTTTTTGGGGTCCTTATTATCAAAAGATTCTACTCTTTGGGGGTCTATTTGAGGGGTCCCCTTTTTTCGTAAACCCTCATATGTCCGGTTAGGCGGTATGCACTGACCTTTCGGTTCTTCGGATCTGCCTGCTGCTCCTGGTTACTTGCTGCTACTTTCTACTTCTTGTGAGGCGAGCTTGGCATACACAAGTCGTTTAGCTGCCCACCTTTCTGATGCTTCATGACAGTGCTTATCGGTGCGCAGGTCGCCTAGTCGCATGCATACGACCAGTGCTTTTTGTGTGGTCAGTACATTCTCAAGCTCTTCGCCGGCATGTCACTCTGTTGCTGATTCAAGGTCGGGGTGGGGAAGAGAGTGTCTGCAACGTAGAAAAACACCCTAAACCCTGAACCCTGAACCCTGAACCCTAAACCGAATGTCACACGACGACTACTCCTGCCCCGATTTTCCAACGCGCCCCCCTAAACCCTAAACCCTAAACCCTAAACCCTAAACCCGCGAAATTCCAAGCGCTTCCTGCCGGGCAGGAGCTGCAAGCTTCTCGTGCCTTGGAGCAGGAGCGATTCCATAAAAGGGGACTTGAAGGGTTCAGGGTTTAGGGTTTAGGGTTTAGGGTTTAGGGTTTAGGGTTTAAGTTTAGGGCTTAGGGTTTAGGGTTATACACCTTGAGGACTGAATGAAACCCACAAGATCATGTATGTACCCTAATTCAACTATATTCCAATTAAGACATGGACCATAAGCTCTCTTCGGGTTCCTTTGCGTAGGCAAATATCATACACGCCTATCACTATGCCCCTTCATGAAGGATACCTTAAATCACATTAGGATCCCAATGGTGTATTCCTTGAGTAAGGGCTGATGGCTCGTACACCCTAAACCCTAAACCCTAAACCCTAAACCCTAAACCCTAAACCCTAAACCCTAAACCCTAAACCCTAAACCCTAAACCCTAAACCCTAAACCCTAAACCCTAAACCCTAAACCCTAAACTGAACCCTGAACCCTAAACCCTCTAGATTGCGCATCAGGAGCGGCTACAGAATTTGGAGGAGGTCCAGCAGGAGCTCAAGGACAGCGTCAGGGTTTGCCTAGAGCAGCTTATTACCCTTGAAAAGCGACAGGAATCTGAACTCTTGGGTCCATTTCCTTTTGTTAGGAATGGCGGGTTACTCTTGGTAGGGCTGTTTTGTGTTTAAGGCTGCCGGGTGTTGTCGAAACCGACCTATTTCGAACAGTTAGGGGTTAGGGCCCCTACAGTTTCCAGGACTTCGTAGGGGAATGCTACTCCTGTTTGAATTTAAACCCTAAACCCTGAAACCGCGGTTTGAGCGGAGATTTGCGCATGGCTAGCCGCACGGCGTCATCGAACCTGCCGTTGGACGCCTCTAGTAAACGGCCCGGTTTCAAAACGGCCCCGCTTCAAACCTCTAATGAGTTTGTATATATATATATACACCCATATATATATATATATACCCATTTACATATTATTGATGACTTGTGTCATACACATAAAGATATATACACACATGTTTGCATATGTAAGTATGCAAGCCGCAAGTCCCGGGTTGATTTTCAGGATGGGCTGTCAGGCCCCCGGAAACCGCAGAATCAACCCTGCAAATGGGGGCTTTCGGGTTTAGGGTTCAGGGTTTAGGGTGTCTAGGGCTTTTGAGGGATTGTAGAATATAGGTCCCTTGCCCTCCTGGACTCCAAAATTGCATGTTCAGGATAACTCCCAAACCCCTAGGTTTCGGCCATCTGGTGCAAGCGGGCTGCTCATAGCCTGGACCCCGAAACTCTAAATCCCTGCAGTCCCTGTAAACCCTGTACAGACTGTAAACCTTGTATAGACCTTGCAATAAACCATATAATAAACCCTGAAATCAACCCTGTAAACAGCCTGTAATCCCTGTAAAACCTGTAAAGCCTGTAAAACTTGGAAAGCCTGTAATGAACCCTGTAAACCATGCAATACACCCTGCTAACCCTGTAATAATAGTCCATGTAATACACCCTGTAAACCCATGTAAACCCTATAACGCCTACAAACTTCAGACCCAGAAGCCCGCACAACCCTAACCCTAAACCCCAAACCCTAATTAATCCCTAAACCCTAAACCCTAAACCCTAAACCTTATAACGCCTATAAACTTCAGACCCAGAAGCCCGCACAAAAGTGGGAATGCGGCCAACGGGCTTGCCAGGCGGAACGCCGCTCCTCCCACCAGCCGTTTGGACTTAGGGATTTAGGGATTTAGGGCTTTCGGGCTTTCGGGCTTACTGGTTCAGGGTTTAGGGTTTAGGGTTGAGGGTTAGGGTTTAGGGTTTAGGTTTAGGGCTTCAAGGTTGAGGGGGGAAGCAGTAGAAGGTCTGGAGTGTTGGGGTGTCCCAAATCCGTCAAAACTCCGAGCCCCAGACCAGCGACGAAAATTTCGGCTGTGTTGTTTTGCAGATTTCGGGTTCATGGCCCAAAAGGCTCGACGGGGTGAGTTGGCTTAGGGTTTATAGGGTCTCAGCTACTTCTCTGCACCAAGACTGTATTCATGGCGGCTGCCAAGCCTCCCGTCGACGAATGGGTGGCGCTCAACGTCGGTGGAGTGCATGTGGAGTGCGATTTTCGACGACGCGGTCGACTCTCACATCGTTGCCTGGAACCGTGCTCGCCACGATGTTTGCGCCTGGCTCGCAGTTCTCGCTGCACCGCGACACTGAAGGCGCGGTGCTCATCGACCGGGACGGCCGCTACTTTGGCGTGATTCTCAATTTTCTGAGGCACGGCACGCTCGTCATCGACCCCGGCCTCGCCGCCCGCGGTGTGTACGAAGAGTCCGTCTTCTTTGGATTGGATGCCATCGCTGCCGCGCTCTCGCCACCGCCGCCGCCCGCGGCGGCTCCAAGCACATCGGAGTTTCAGATGTTGATTCATGTGGGTAGGAGGCCTAAACCGACCAAACCCTACATCCTACACCCCAAAGCCCACTAAACCCTAGACCCTAAGCTCTACGCCCTACACCCTAATCTTCCTGAACCTCTAGAAACACGAAGCCCTTCCCCATCAACCCCAAACCACTAAACCCGCTAAACCCAAAACCCACGCCCTGCACCCTAAACCCTAACCCTTCACCCTAAACCCTACGCCCTAAACCCCTAAACCCTAAACCCCACGCCCTAAACCCTAACCCCCTAAACCCTAAACCCCCTAGAAACACGAACAGCCGAGGAACGAAGACCGCCTTCGCGAGCTCATGCACTCGGAGCAGCGAAGTAAGGCAGCCTTTGAGGAGCAGGAGGCCAGTTCTGGTGCTTTTCATGGTGTTATTCATTTATTATCATTAGTATTGTTATATATATATATATATGTATATATATATATATTTTTTTTTATGGGGCGGGGGGGGGGGGGGGGGGGGGGGGTTGGGTTTGGGGTTAGGGTTGAGGGTTGAGGGTTTTTTCATGTGTTTTTTGTTTCTTTCTTTTGTTTTTTTTTGGGGGGTGGGTGGGGGGGGGGGGGGGTTAAGGGGGATTTGTGGCCCGAAGCCCTACCAAAAACTCATAAAACCCTAAGCTAACCGTATAAACCCCTAAACTAACCCTAGAACCTTAGAATGCTTTTTGTTTCATTTTGCAGATCTGATTTAGATTGCAGATGGCTGCAAATATTTCTGGAGATCCGGAGCTTGTGATGGGGTTTAGGGTTTAGGGCTTAGGGCTTAGGGTTTAGGGCTTAGGGTTCAGGGTTCAGGGTTTAGGGTTGGCAGCCCAGTGGTACCCTTTTGCCCTTTTTTGTTTGGTTCAAGGTTCCCTCATAAAGTAAGAAGCCCCAAAACGGGTGCCCTTACTATAATATGGTTACTGGGCTACCAACTGTATGTGTCGGGTTACATGCGTACACCAAATCAAGTTGTTACAAGTTGTAGCTGAATCTGTTCTGCTCAGCTATACCTGCCCAGGATCCACCTAAATCCAAAAACCTCAAGCCATAAATTCCTAAACCCTCGGCCCCTAAACCCCCTTAGCCCCTAAACGCTAAAACCCTAAACCCTGAAACCCTAAACCCCAAAAAGCCCCGTACTCCCTAAGACGCTAAACCTCTAAAACCCTAAACCCGAAGCCCTGCCTTGAACTTCTTACGTGGGGTGGTTCTCTTAATTAGGCTTCCCTTTTTGGGTCCGTATATCCTACGGCACCTTAGCACACAAGGACCCCCCGAACGGGACCCCAATTTAGACTTGCTAGCCCGGTGGCGCCCTTTGCCCTTTTTTTGGTTCAAGGTTCCCTTATAAAAGAAACCCTAAACCTTAAATCCCCAACCCTGGACCCTAAACCTTTATTATCATATGTACCAAGTAGAGAACTACCTACCTCTTCGACCCCCCAACTTTCGCACATTTTTTAGTAGGGAATGAGGGAATGAGGTACCCTATATAATCCCTCAAAGGGTATATTTCGGGGGACATAGGGTACCTCAATCCCTAACCCTAGACCCTAAACCCTAAACCCTAAACCCTAAACCCTAAACCTTAAACCCTAAACCCTAAACCCCCACCTTTTTCGCCTCCCCGTGAGGCAGCAGTTGTCGAGGACAAGCGTCGCCTGAATTCTGCCTATCGGCAGCTGGAGGAGGTGGAGCCGGTTTTTTTTTAGGGTTTAGGATTTAGGGTTTAGGGTTTAGGATTTAGGGTTTAGGATTTCCGATTTCGGATTTCGGATTTCGGATTTCGGGTTTAGGGTTTAGGGTTTAGGATTTAGGATTTAGGGTTTAGGGTTTAGGGTTTAGGATTTCGGGTTTAGGGTTTAGGATTCAGGATTTAGGGCTGAGGGTTTAGGATTTAGGATTTAGGCTTTTGGGTTTTGGGTTTTGGGTTTTGGGTGCAATGCGGAATGTGGAAGGCATGGAATGTCGAGGAGGTTTGGAAGCTTATGTTGCGCTAGAGGCTTTGTCTTTTTGGATTTAAGGGTGTGGGTGGGTGTGGGTGGGTAGGTGGGGTTAGGTGGGGTTAGGTTGGGTGTCGTAGTACGGCTTTTTGAGAGGTGGTGTCAGGAGTCCCGGTCTCGGCCTTGGCTGCGGGTAGTGGCTCAAGACATCATGTCCGTAAATCTCCTGCCAGGCCTTGCCTAAGTCTAGGGCCCAGAGTAGGCCCTTATTCCCTTTTTTTTAGGGTTTAGGTTCCGCTATAAGCCCCTTTAAACCAAAAACGGTGCCCTTGAGGTTACTCCTTGGTCTAGGTTTTCAATCGGGTACCCAAGGGTCATCGTATTTTGGGGTATATTCCTTAGGGGGCACCCCTATCTGAAAAAATCCCGAATTGGAGGTTGGGGCACAAGGCCCTCCGAAGGGTTGAGGGTCCACGGCGCAATCTCATCCGGCTTAGGGTGGTGGATTTTAGGGGACAAATGCGAATGAAACATTGACGCCCAGATCAGGATTTGGGATTCAGGGTACTAGGCTAACCGAAACACGCAGACTTTGCATGTCCCGCAGCAAAGAAAGCTTCAAACCCCTACTTACACCCTGAACCACGGCTAGATTTCAAGAGCCCAAGAGCATCACCAGATATAGGTTTCTTCGGGTCTTGGGGCTTAGGGGGGTTTGTTGCTTGCCTGGAGGTTGACGGACGTTTGCTTACTGACAGAAATTTCGGGTCTAGTGCTAGTGCGCTCACTTTGGGTCAATCCGAAACCCTTCATCCTCAACCATGCAACCCAAGAAGCTCTAAGCCTCAAACTTGGACCCTCATCGGTACATAAATGCAAATTGTATAGCATCAACACTAGCAAATTCACATCCCAATATGATATAGGAATATCACAATACACTAACCTAATTTTATAGTGAGCTAGTAAAGTAATACGGTTTGTTGCAGAATGCAATAAGACAACAGTACAGCAATCTAAGTACATATGGTAACATGACCCGACAATTTTCCCAGCAACACAGCAACATATATGTAATAACATGGTCAGCAAGATGATCCTCTTGACTTTAGAACAATGTGTAATAACATCGTCATTCAAAATGCGTAATCATCTAACAAAGCAGAATAACAAGGAGGGGCCCCTTTACTATACTAACTATAATTAAGGGACTTAGAACCTAAGATAGGCTCCTTATAACCCAATTTAGGGCTCCTATAACTCTACTTATGACTAGGGGCCCCCTCCTTGTAGTTTATACGACAATACATACAAACTAAAGAGTCTAAACCCTAAACCCTAAACCCTAAACCCCAAACCCTAAACCCTAAACCCTAAACCCTAAACCCTAAACCCTAAACCCTAAACCCTAAACTCTAAACATACAGGCCCACGCCGAAGAGCGCAGCTCTCGAGAGAAGGCCGAGGACTTCCACCAGCAGGTCGCGCTTCGGGGTTGAAGGTTTGTGGTTCATGTAGCCCTTCTTTGGATTTAGGGTTTAGGGTTTAGGGTTTAGGGTTTAGGGTTTAGGGAATTTCTTTGTTGTTGTGATTCATATAAGACCCAAAGGAATATTGAACACATTCTCAAAGCCAGTTGGGTTGAGCAAAGTGTCGCCGTTGCTTGCACGAAAGGGTGCAAGAACCGAAGAGAATCACGGAATTTCAGATTAGGCATCCCCGAGTCGAAAGGTTTAGGGAGGGTTTTGGGTCTACTATACTTAAACCTGAAATCGTCCGTGCCCCAAGCAGAGCATCCAATCAGAAGCTACTTCTGCGCCTGCTTTGAGAAACCCTAAACCCTAAACCCTAAACCCTAAACCCGAGGCTCCCAATCGACGCCTCCTTTACGCGCGGCCTCACTGTTCTGTGCCAGCGATAGATTAGAGTACCCAGAGACTCCAAAACCCCTTAATTAAGGAATATACCTTAAATCATACTAGGGTTCCTATTATAATTTAAGGTATATTCCTTAATTAAGGGGTTTTGGAGTCTCTGGGTACTGGAGCCCTATAGCTTGCATGTAGGCTCCAAGAAGCTAAGGCTAAAAAACCCTCAAATTTCCCTCAACCACCTTATGCCTTGGGATGTTCCCCCCCTTATACTAACAGTCCTTAATAGGGACTATAGTACCCCCGATGATGATCCCCACTAAGGACTGTTAGTATAAGGGGGAACATCCCAAGCTGAAGCCCCTTAGATTCCCTAAACCCTCAGCCCTAAACCCTAGTCCCTAAAGTCCCTAAAGTCCCTAAACCGCAAAGTCCCTAAACCCTAAACCCTAAAGTCCCTAAGCCCTGACGTCTCAAAACCTATCGTCCTGCGTGCTCTAAGCGCACCGGATGTCATTGGCAGGTCGCCGCGCTGCCCTCGGCCTGCCATGACAAGAAAGCCTAGCTAGGGTTTAGTTTAGGGTTTGGGGTTTAGGCTTTAGGCTTTAGGCTTTAGGCTTTAGGCTTTAGGCTTTAGGCTTTAGGCTTTAGGCTTTAGGGTGTAGGGTTTAGGGTTTAGGGTTTAGGGTTTAGGGTTAGGGTTTAGGGCTGAGGGTTCAGGGCTCAGGGCTCAGGGCTCCAGGTCTTAGATTCCAATTCGGGTTGAATCCCGAAACCTTCAACGGTGTCATCTTGATTTGGGTGACTCTGTGACCCATCACTTCCTGTCCCCAGCATCCCTCAATGACTTTGGGGGCGGGGGGTTGGGGGTTAGGGTTTAGGGTTTAGGGTTTAGGGTTTAGGGTTTAGGTGGGGGAGGGGAGGGGAGGTGGAGGAGGGGGTGTGCGGGAATAGCCGGTGAGGCTTCTGGAAACCTTGGTAAGCCAGTGGTACCCTTTTCCCTTTTTGTTGGTCCTAGTTCCCTTGCAAAGTAACCAACCCAACAAAGGGGTGCCCTTACTATAACATGGCTCCTGGGCTACCAAGTGACTAGGGTTTATGCGTGTACGATGGTGTACGCGAAGGTTCATGGGCAGCTATGTGTTAAGGAAAGGGGTTCCTATACCCCAACCCTCTACCCCAAAGCCTCAACCTCAAACCCTAAACCCCTAACCCTAAACCCTAAACCCTAAACGAA